ATTTATTTGTTTATTTATGTCTGTCATGCCGGAGATTGAACTCAGGGCCTTACACTCACCGCAGAGTTACATCCCCAGCCCTATTTTTAATTTGAAACATTCATCATTAAGCTGCCCAGGCTGGCCTGGAACCTGGGGCCCTACTGCTTCCGGACCTCAGGCGCATGCCACCACCCCCAGCCCCAGCTGTCATTACTGCTGTTTAATGGGAACGCCCTGCGCTTCTAGTGGGGAGCTTCTGAGCGCACAGGGTAGGGCCCCCTGCTCCGACACAGAGGCCTGTTTGGGGTCGCCCCACAGTTCTGGGGGTGTCTGCTGTCTGCCTCCCCCTGTGCCCCGCCACCCCTCAGAAGTCCTCCTCCTCGGCCAAGGAGAGGAGCACTGCCTTGGGTGTGTTCTCGAAGAGGGCAGCCCGATTCTGCTGCTGCCCTTTCTTCACCCAGTGGCCGTATATTCGGAAAGCGTAGGCGTCGATGAGCCTCCGTAGGGGCCTCAGGGCGTAGGGGTCCCGGATGACGATCTCCCTGGTTACGGGCTTCACCCGACGGTACTGGTAGTAGATCTTTACCGAGGCCAGCACGGTTAGACAGATCACCTGCAGGAGGGAGCACTGAGAACCCGCAGCCCAGCTTGTCAGAAAACCCACGGTGGCTTCGGGGACGCCCTTCAGGATGACCCCTATTTCCAGACCACACGTAATGTACCGGGATTTAGGCTAACAAGGTCAGTGGGCTGACATTCCCTGCAACCAGAAATTTGATTTGGAACAGTGGATACAAGAAGAGGGGCAATTTGCCCGGTGGTGGTGGTGGCGCATGCCTTTAATCCCAGCACTCGGGAGGCAGAGGCATGAGGATCTCTGAGTTCGAGGCCAGCCTGGTCTACAGAGTGAGTTCTGGGACAGCCAGAACTACACAGAGAAACCCTGTCTCAAGAAACAAAACAAACAAAAATAGAGAGAGAGAGAGAGAGAGAGAGAGAGAGAGAGAGAGAGAGAGAGAGAGAGAGAGAGAGAAGGGGAGGGCAGGGGAGGGGAAGGGAGGGGAGGGGGAGGGGAGGGGAGGGGAGAGAAGAGTAGAGAAGAAGAGAAGAGAAAAGGAAAAAGGGGCAATTCTAGAATCCTCCATAGTTTAAGGCTCCAGGAGCCTGGTGTCAGCAGGTGTAGGAGCCAACAGCAACCTCCCCCCAGACCCCTGGGCCAAGGTAAGTTTCAGTACCTTGAACTTGCCCCGGGGACTGAAGTGTCGCACTTCTTCCACCACATACTGCTGGAAGAAAGGGTGAGCCAAGGCCTCCTCTGCTGAGCAGCGGTCCTGGGGTTTCACCACCAAGAAGCGAGACACCTGTGAGAACAGAAAGGCGCTGAGGATACCCGGGCAGCGTTTTGGAAGACGCCGGGTGTGATGGTCAATCCCTATTGCCAACTTGGTAGGATTTAGAACCACTATGAGAACAGATCTCCGGACGTGTCGTGTGAGGGGCGGGTTAGAGGGGTGGAGGTGGGAAGCTCCACTCTAAATGTGGGTGGCTCCACTTCGTGGGCTGGGGTCCTAGACTGAATAAAAAGGAGAAAGTGAGCTGAGCACCAGCATCCGTCTCTCTCTGATTCCTGAGTGTGGATGACACGTGATCAGTCTTCTCACACATCTGGAGCCATAAAGCATGAGCCAGAATTAACCCTTCCTTCCTTAAGCAGCTTTTTTTTTTTTAAATTTATTTATTTAGCTGGGCAGTGGTGGTCCACGCTTTTAATCCCAGCACTTGGGCAGCAGAGGCAGGCGGATCTCTGTGAGTTCAAGGCCAGCCTAGTCTACAGAGTGAGTTCCAAGATAGCTAGGACTGTTTCACAGAGAAACCCTGTCTCAAACAACCAAGATTAAAAAAAAATTATTTATTATGTATACAGTGTTCTGCCTGCCATGTATGCCTGCAGGCCAGAAGAGGGCACCAGATCTCATTAAGGATGGTTGTTAACTACCATGTGGGTGCTGGGAATTGAACTCAGGACCTCTAGAAAAGCAATCAGTGCTCTTAACCTCTGAGCCATCCCTCCAGCTTCTGAAATAGCTTTTGCTAGGTCTTTTGTAGCAGCAATGAGACAAATTTCAGAGGGGTCCCTCCTGGAGATTCCTCCACTCTGGGGTATTCTCCCGTACTGGGGTGTTTGCCTCTGCCTTGACATCCGGGGAGCTGGTGGGCGTGGCCTCTCACCAAGTCTTTCACTGTGTCTGAGTAATCATCCCATTCTGGCGAGCCAAACTGGTATTTGCCATCCATGATCATCCTTAGCATCAGCATCTGCTTCCGGTGCCAGAAGGGTGGGGAGCCAGCCAGCAGTGTGTACATGATGACCCCAGTGCTCCACCTGGCGGGCAGCAGGGTCTCACGTCACACTTAACCTCATGGGTAGGGGAGACATGCAGAAGCAGCTGACTATAGTTTCCAGTTTCCCTGGGGTCGGGCCACGGTTGGGACCACCTCCCACATCTGCCCAGATCACTCACATGTCCACCTCCTTCCCGTAGCCAGGATGGCTGTCGTCCATGGAACACTGGATGATTTCAGGGGCCAGATAACTAGGAGTCCCGCAGACCTCTGCAGGAACAGTCATTATCAGGACAGGTTGACAGGAGCCCTCGGGAGAAGTTACCCAAGAAAGCCAAGAGATGGGACAAGAAGAGAGCTTGACAGGACTCTCCTGTTCCACACCTGAGGGTGGCATCAGGGTACACAGGCTCAGAGAGCCACCTGTGGGTTCCTAGGTCCATTCAGGCACCTGGCATGGCACTCAAGCTGTGGGAACCTAGGTCAACAGAGTCGTAGGGAGAGGACTTGAGTCAAGGAGACATCTAGCCTCTGAAGTAGGATATTTTTGGGATTAATTTTTATTTTAAATTGTGTAGTTGCCGGGCGGTGGTGGCGCACGCCTTTAATCCCAGCACTCGGGAGGCAGAGGCAGGTGGATCTCTGTGAGTTCGAGGCCATCCTGGTCTCCAAAGTGAGTTCCAGGAAAAAGGCACAAAGCTACACAGAGAAACCCTGTCTCGAAAAACAAACAAACAACAAAAAAAAGTGTGTAGGTATCTGTATGTGGATATGTACACATAGGTAAAAATGCCCAGCGACCAGAAGAGAGAGTCTGATACCCTAGAACTGGAGTTAGAGGTGACTTTGAAAGTCTCCCTATATGTGTGCTGGGAACTGAAACTTGGGTCTTCTACATAAGAAATACATCCTCTTTTTTTTTAAAAAAAAAATAGATATGGGTATCTTGGCTACACTCATATCTGTATATCATATGTGCCTGGTGTCCAAGGAAGCCAGAACAGGGTATGAGATCCCCTGGAATTGGAGTTACGGAGAGTTGTGATCAGCAATGTGGATGCTGGGACTGGAACCTAGGTCCTCTGAACAGCTCATGCTCTTAACTACTGAGTCATTTCTGGGAATTTTTTTTAAAGTGTGTGTGTGTGTGTGTGTGTGTGTGTGTGTGTGTGTGTGTGTGTGTGTTGTGTGTTGTGTGTATGTGTGTGATGTGAAAGCCAGAAGTTAATGTCAGGTGCCTCCCTTGATTGTTCTCCCTCTTGTTTTTGAGGCAGGGTCTCTCACTGGCCTGGAGCTGGCTGATTCAGGTAGACTGGCTGGCCAGCAATCCCCAAGGATCCTCCTAGCTGCCTGTTCAGTGCTGGAGACACATGGGTTCTGGGGATTCAAACTCAGGTCCTCATGCTTCTGTACCCTGTTTTACCCACCAACCCATCTCCTCAGACACTGAAGTGGTAGTTTTTATTCTGGGGTGACATTCGGGCCACTTCCATCCCTGAGGCCCCTTCTATGGGCCAAGGCCATGGTACCAGACCTCGGAGCCTCTCTCCTGGCTGCAGCTGGCAGGAAAACCCGAAGTCTGTGAGCTTGATGTTCATGTCATCATCTAGAAGGATGTTCTCCGGCTTCAGGTCCCGATGGACAATGTTGAGTTTGTGCAGGGTGCTGATCACCTCCAGCAGGGCCCGCATGATCTTTCTGAGGAGGCACATACATGGCAATGGTTTATTTTTATTTATTTTATTATTGTTGTTGTTGTTTTGTTGTTTTTCGAAACAGGGTTTCTCTGTGTAGTCCTGGCTATCCTGAAACTCACTCTGTAGACCAGGCTGGCCTTGAACTCAGAGATCTGCCTGCCTCTGCCTTTTGAGTGCTGGGATGAGAGGTATGTGCCACCATGGCCAGTTTATGCTTCCTGCTTGCTAGGCAAACACTCTAGCCGCTGAACTATGGTCTAATCAAAACAAGGTGTCACGTGCAACTCATGCAAGCCTTGAACTCATGATCCTCCTGCCTCAGCCTCCCTATTGTTGAGATTACAGACATTCATTACCAGTCAGTTTTAATTTTTTGTTTTGTATTTTACCCCGGTACTAGGGATGGAAATCAGGGCTTGAAACATGCTGGGTTAGCACTACACTACTGAGACACACACACATCCAGCCTATTGGCTTTCTTTGCTTTTTGTTTGTTTGTTGTTGTTGTTTTTACAAGATAGGGTTTCTCATACCATAATCTTTTTTTTGTTGTTCCTGTCCTGGAGCTCACTCTATAGACCAGGCTGGCTTTGAACTCACAGAGATCCGCCTGGCTCTGCCTCCCGAGTGTTGGGATTAAAGGCGTGCGCCACCATCACCTGCCTGTTTTTTATTTTTGTTTTTTTTATTATTTTTTTTTAAAGATTTATTTATTTGTTTGTTTGTTTGTTTGTTTTATGTATACAGTGTTCTGCCTGCACGAATCCCTGCAGGCCAGAAGAGGGCGCCAGATCTCATTACAGATGGTTGTGAGCCACCATGTGGTTGCTGGGAATTGAACTCAGGACCTTTGGAAGAGCAGCCAATGCTCTTAACCTCTGAGCCATCTCTCCAGCTCTTGTTTTTTGTTTTTTTTTAAATAGATTGTATTTATTTATTTAATGTGTGTGTGTGTAAGCCTGTGTGTACATATATACACCACATTCATAAAGTGACCAGATGGTCAGAAGACATCAGATTCTCTGGAAGTACAGTTACAAACTTTTGTGAGCCACCCATAGGGGTGCTGGGAATCAAACCTGGGTCCTCTGAAAGATAGCAAGTGTGCCAGGCATGGTAGTGCAAGTGTTTAATGCCAACACTCTGTAGGCAGAGAGGCAGCAGATCTCTGTGAGTTCAAGGTCAGCCTGGTCATCACATCAAGTTCCAGGCCAGGCAGGGCTACATAATGAGACCCCATCTCAAAAAAACAAATACAAGAGTAACATGTGCTCTTAACTGCTGAGCCATCTCTCCAGGCACACTGGCTTCATTTTTGATTCTAGAATTGGGCAGAACTTTTACCATACGACAGAAGTGAGTGTCTCCCTACACATTACTCTTCCATTCATCAGGGAGAAGAGGCAGAAAGGCCAAAGCCCACATACCAACCCCACTACCACTACGGGCAATAGAGGATCCAGGATAGGCTGGGACAGTCTAGATGATCTAGACCGTAGATGAGCCAAGGAGCTGGGAGATCACAGAAGCCAGCATGACCTCCGCTGAAGCGTGCGCACCAGGCCTCCCACCAGACCCCTGTGGGGCTGGCGCTACTACTTGGAGAAGGGATGGAGATGGCACATGCCCCTTACCTGGTTTCCTTCTCAGTCAAGGTGACCTTCTCAGTGAGGTAGTCAAAGAGTTCCCCTCTCTTCATCCTGTGGGGACAAAGTGTTCCTTACCTGCCCTCAGAACAGTGTTCCCACCCTGATGCCCTCAAAGACAAGGTGTGCTGTTCCTCTGAGGGAAGGAACCCCGGGGAGGGAGTGGAGGAGTTGTCTGGGAAGAACTGAAAGAAAATCGAGAGGCTGAGAAAATGCAATGTCCCTGCCTGTGGAAATGCCTGGCACCCTGGGATCTGTCAGTGCTAGGAGTGGGAGACAGGCATCTCTGGCCCAGGACCCCACATCAAGAGGACTTGGGAGGCCGGGCGGTGGTGGCGCACGCCTTTAATCCCAGCACTCGGGAGGCAGAGCCAGGTGGATCTCTATGAGGTCGAGGCCAGCCTGGGCTACAGAGCGAGTTTCAGGACAGGCTCCAAAGCTACACAGAGAAACCCTGTCTCAAAAAACCAAAAAAAGAAAAAGAAAAAAGAAAAGAAAAAGAAAGAAAGAAAGAAAAAGAGGACTTGGGAATTTCTGTCCGGAAGCAAACAGAAAGGGTCAAGGGTCAACAGTGTAAGTGTTGGGGAAGCCAAGTTTGCCCAGTACGTGAGAAGAGCCACCGGGTGGCGACATAAACCCGTAATCCTAGTACTTGGTAAATGGCAGCCGGAGAATCAGGAATTCAAGACCAGCCTCAGCTACATAGTGAGTTGGAGGCCAGCCTGGGCTACATGGAACCCTGCCTCAAAAAATAGAAATGGGGGTTGGAGAGATGGCTCAGCAGTTAAGAGCACTTGCTGTTCTTCTGGAGGACCTGGGTTTGGTTCCCAGCACCCAGGTCAAGCCACTCCTGTCTATAACTCGAGCTCCAGGGGATTCAAAAGGGCCTCTGGCCTCCACAGGCCCCTGCACTCGCTTGCACATGCCCACATGCCGATACACACACACACCTACATATAACTGAAGATAACAAAAATAAATGGTTTAAATAATGGAGGGACAGGCCAGTCCTGGTGGCGAAGGCCTTTAACCCCAGCACTTGAAAATGCCCTATAGCTTACCTGCAGCTGGATTTTAGGGAGGCATTTTTCTCAGTTGAGGCTGCCTCCTCTCCAGTGGCTCTAGCTTGTATCAAGTTGACATACAACTAGTCAACACACGGTGTCTTTACTCCTCAGTAAGTCACAGTTAACTTAAGGACAGGATTTACTTGAGAAAATGATGTTTGTACTGTTGAAACATTTCCTATTGTGGCTGGTGAGCCCTTCAATATTTTCTGTTTCCTTTCTTCTCCTTATTACTTATATAAGAAGAATTTGAGATCGGGTCTCACACTGCTGCCCAGGCTAGCCTCAAAGCCATAGCAATAATCCTCCTGCCTCACCCTTCTGAGTGCTAGGATTATAGGACTGTGCCACAGTGCCCAGTTTTATCTTTTCCTGTTTAACCACAGGATGGGCTCCTAGGCTCCCTCCCCCACCCAGCTGCGGCCATGGCCATCCCTGCTGTATCCACAGGGTTCTCTCCTGCATGACCTTTTGGGGGCAGCTCAGATGTCTTTAACCTTTAGAGAGGTGGTTTGGGGAAGCTATTTTTACTGGTGTCCCGAGAAGCCCTACAGGGTAAAACTAGATGACTCTAGCAGCGACCACGTTCTAGATCAGAAAACTAAAAAGATAAAATTGAGTATTTTGGGGGGTTTTGTTTTCTGAGACAAGGTGTGGTTATGTAGCACAAACCACTTCAAACTTTTGATCTTTGGCCTCAGCCTCCCAAGTGCCGGCATTGCAGCTATGTGCCACCAGCAAGCCCAGCTTTGAAGAGCAAGCTCCTGCCCTTCCTCCCCTCTTCCCTCCTGTTCTCCCTCCTCTCCCACACACCCCCTTCTTTTGTTTGTTTGTTTGTTTTTGAAATAGGGTCTCTGTATATACTCTGACTGGCCTGGAATTCACTGTTGACCAGACAGGCCCCGAGATTCACCATCTTCTGCCTTCCAAGTGTTGGGATTAAAGGCCTGCACCACCATGCCTGGAGGAAATTTTTTATTTTCTTTCTTTCTCTCTCTCTCTCTCTCTCTCTCTCTCTCTCTCTCTCTCTCTCTCTTTCTCCCGTCCTTCCTTCATTCCTTCCTTTCTTCCCTTCCTTCATCAGCATCATAATTATTATTATTATGTGGGTTTTTTTTTTTTTTCTGAGATAGGGTTTCTGTGTCCTGGAACTCACTCTATAGTCCAGGCTGCCCTCAAACTCAGAGAACTGCCTGCCTCTGCCTCTCAAAGGCATGTATCACCACTGTCTGGCCCATTTTTTTTTTTTTTTTCAAACAGAAACTGATCACAAGTCTCCAGTGCACAGTTCACATGTGTAGTTATCATTGCTCGCTCCATTTTGTTTTTTTTTTTTTGAGACAGAGTCTTGTTGTGTAGCCCAGGCTGGGCTGATACTCCCTGGCTGGCCATGAACTTGAAGTCACTCTCCTGTCTCCGTTTCTGAGAGCTGAGACTACAAGGGTGTGCCACTGTGCCAGGTTTGTGTTCGTATTTGAGGCTTAGTGACAAGGACCTCCTATCCCTCATCCTGTTGGTGCAAACACAGTGATGACACCAGTCTTTGAACAACAAAATGTCATCTCACCACTGGCTTCTCCCTTCAATACTTCCTGCAGCCTCTTCCCACTCTTTCCTCCCTCAACTCATCCCCAGAGACCAACTAGTACCAGGGCTGGTGGTCATGCCTGTAATTTCAGCACTCTAGAGGCTAAAGCAAATGGATCATGAGTTCAAGGTCAGCCTGGGCTAAGAGCAAGTCTCACAGCAGTCTGGCCTTCATAAAGAGATGTTGCAGGGCTGGAGAGATGGCTCAGAGGTTAAGAGCACTGGCTGCTCTTCCAGAGGTCCTGAGTTCAATTCCCAGCAACCACATGGCGGCTCACAACCATCTGTAATGGGATCTGGCTCCTTCTTCTGGCCTGCAGGGATACATGCAGGCAGAACACTGTACACATAATAAATAAATAAATCTTTAAAGAAATTATTAAAAAAAAAGAGATGTTGCCTCCCAAGAAAAAAAGAAAGGAAGAAAGGACCGAGCAGTGGTGTACACCTTTGATCCCAGCATTCGGGAGGCAGAAGCAGGCAGATTTCTATGAGTTTGAGGACTCTACAGAGTCCCAGGACAGCTAGAGCTACACAGAGAAACTCTGTCTTGAAAAACCAACCAACTAACCAAACAAACAAACAAAAAACATATAGTCTAAGAAAAAATAACCCAAATAATCAAATTGAAACCAGGCATGGTGGCACACCCCTTTAATCCCAGCATTTGGGAGTCAGATGCAGGTGGATCTGTGTGAATTTAAGGCCAACCTGGTCTACATAGCAAGCCCAGAGCTACCCAAAAGGAACCTGTCTAAAAGAAATTTTTTAAATTAAGAAAATAAGCCGGGCAGTGGTGGCACACACATTAATCCCAGCACTCGGGAGGCAGAGGCAGAGGCAGGTGGATCTCTGTGAGTTCCAGGCCAGCCTGGGCTACAGAGTGAGATCCAGAAAAGACGCCAAAGCTACACAGAGAAACCCTGTCTCAAAAACAAACAAACAAACAAACAAACAAACAAAACCCAATATGTACACAGACACACACACACACAGACACACACACACACACATACAAAACCTATCCATAAATGGTATTCTAGATTTCAAACCTGGCAGAGTGGCCCTGAATCAACTGTTGATTTTGGCTGGTATTTCAACATGGGGGTTGGAGAACTGATGCTGGCCCCCTGACAACCTGGCAGGGACCCGTGGAGGGCTTCCTAAGCCCCACGGTAATGGTGGCTCCAGGGTTGGGTACTTACAAGTCAAATACCAAGAAGAAGAAAGTGTTGGTCTCGTAAGTGTCCTTCAGCTGTACTGAAATGGAAAAGGCTAGCTGGTCTCAAGGAGCAGAGGGGCCTTGGCAGGGGCCACAGGGCACAGGGACCAGACAGGCTGGCTTCAAAGGCAGGAGAGGGAATGTGATGGGCTTCCAGGGCAATCACTGAGGTGTGGGAAGGACCCCTTCCTCAACTGCACCCACTCCCAACCTGTCTATACCCACCCTGTCTAGTAGTGAGGGTGGCACCTGTGGCCTTGAGCTGCGACAATGGGCTGGCAGAGCCACGGAGCATAAGGTGAAGATGGATGTGTATAGCCGGTCACAGGATGGCTCCTATGCCCTGACTTGGGTTGTCAGGGCAGAATCACTACAAAGCACACGGCCATGGCTTGTGCCAGGGGTAGTGGGGCTGGGAGGATCCACTCACTGATGTTGGGGTGTCCCGAGACCTTCTGCAGGATGTCCACCTCCTTCAGTGTGGCTTCCCGGAGCTCCTGCACCTCCTCAGGGCTGAAGCTGCCTCCGCCTGTGATGTCGATGATTTTTACTGCATATTCTTGGCATGTAGGCTTGTGGATACAGCGCCTGACCACGCTGCTAACTCCCCTGTGGGCAGAGAACAGATAGATGGTCTCGGGACCCCACACTTCAGGGGAGTCCCTTAACAAAGGCAGGACAGGAACTAGAGAGAAAGCTCTGCAATTAAGAACACTTGTTGCTCTTTCAGAGGACCTGGGTTCAATTCCCAGCACCCACATAGCTACTAACAACTGTCTGAAACCCCAGGGGATCCAACACCCACTTCTGACCTGTAAGGACACCAGACGTGCATGTGGTGCACAAACATACAGGCAGAACCCTCATACTCATAAAATAACAGCAAAATCGATCAGTAAATTAAAGGTACAGATGTTCTTCCCAGTGTTGTAACACATACTCCCCTTCTCACCCAAGAGGGACAGAAATGGGGCCAGTGCTGAGGGTGGTGACAATCTTTCCGATCACAGAGCTGAGGTCAGGATTTCCGCAGGAGGGCCAGGTCTTACCTGCCCAGGATCTCCTTGGGTTCATAGTGCTCATAGAAGCTCTGTGCAGAATGGGAGTCGGGGAGGGCCTCGTCCCGGGTCATGCTCAGGTGGATCTCAGGGGGATTCCAAGGGCCTCTGAAAAGGGTACAGAAAGCAGCAGTTCCCCACCCCCTCCCACCTCTTTCTTTCTTTTTTTTTTTTTGAGACAGGGTTTCTCTGTGTAGCCCAGGCTGTCCTGGAACTCACTTTGTAGACCAAGCTGCCTCTGCCTCCCAAGTGCTGAGATTAAAGGCATGGGCATCCAGGGCCTGTCTCTTTGTCTTTTTTAAGATTTTTTTAAAAAGCATATAGGGCCAGGCGGCAGTGGCCCCCACGCCTTTAATCCCAGCACTCAGGAGGCAGAGGCAGGTGGATCTCTGTGAGTTTAAGGCCAGCCCGGTCTACAGAGTGAGTTCTAGGACAACTAGGGCTACACAGAGAAACTCTGTCTTGAAAACAAAACAAAATAAGTAAACAAACAACGGCCAAGTGCCCAACTTGGTCTACATAGTAAGTTCTAGGCCAGCCAGGAGGCCTAGATCAATAAAAATGATACATGAAACCTTATATCAATTTTAAAAAAAAGCGGGGAAGGGGAATACTGGAAAGAAAACTCAGTAACTAAAAGCACTGGCTGCTCTTTCATCAGAGGATCCTGGTTCAAATCCCAGCACCCACATGGCAGCTTGCAACCATCTATAATTCGAGTTCCAGGGGATCTGGTATCTTCTTCTGGCCTCCGTGGGGGCCAGCCATACAAGTAGTATACAGACAAAACACCCATACACATAAAATCAAAATAATCTTACAAAAGAAAGCCACGCACTGTATCAGAGCTGGGTGAGGGATTGTGGGTCTCAGCCTCTGGTATCACCTCCCATTAGACCGATGACTAGGCCTTCCTGCTCCCTGCCCAGCACAGGTGTGTAGTAATTGCTGAGTATAATTCAATGAACAGGTGATCCATTGGCACAGGCCTTAGCAGATGGAATGACCTAGATCCTGCCTAACAATGGCCAGTAAGCCCTGAGTAGTCCTGGAGCCCTGTGGACAATACAGTAAATTCTTTTGTTTGTTTGTTTGTTTGTTTTTGTTTTTTTTTTTGAGACAGGGTCTCACTATGCAGTCCTGGCTGGCCTAAAACTCATAGAGAACCACATGCCTCTTTCTCCCAAGTGCTGGCATTAAAGGCATGTGCCTCCACACCTGGCATGAGTCAGTAACTCTTATTTTTATTTATTTACTTTTGGTTTTTGAGACAGGGTTTCTCTGAGTAGCCCTGGCTGTCCTGGAACTCACTCTGTAGATCAGGCTGGCCTTGAACTCATAGAGATCCACCTGCCCCTTCCTCCCTAGTGCTGGGATTAAAGCTGTGCGCCATCACTTCCCTGCTCTCTTATTTTTAGGTGCTGGGGATAGAACCCAGAGCCTTGCACATGGTAGGCAAGCACTCAACCACCAGAGTCAGGGTGGTCAAACTTGGATGTGGAGAAGATAAGCAGGTCCATGGTGTCGCAGGAACAGATAGGCTCCTACCAGCAAACTGAACTCCTCCTTCAGACCCAGGGTTTGAGAAAGGCAGAAAATCCCCCAGCAATAGGAAGAGGCAAGCAGGCAACAGGCATGCGCTTCTGGTCCACTTCTGTGAGCCCAAAAAGGCCTGGTCTCCCAACCTGCTGACCAGCCAAACCGCAGTCCTGGCTGCCTCACGCTGGCTCTTGCAGGAAGCCTGGTGTGCTCGCTACTGGGTGCCTGGTTACCAGAAGAAGGTTTAGAATAACAATCGTCTGCTTTGCCAATAGCAGGAACCTGGCCTGTGCATATCAACAGCCAATAGAAGGTTGTTAGTGCCCCTCAACAAGCCTGTTTGCTGAAAACCCCAAAATGGGCATCCGTGCCCCTCACTTACTATGACGGCCACACCAGATCCCTTGCACGGGTACAGAGCCATTCTGGGCCCATACCAGGATGCCATCCTGAACCATGCTGGCCAAATTCTGGCTGTACTCACATTTTCTGATAATGTGTGTGTCCAGCCCCCTGCCACCACCACCCCACCCCCAAGCTCTTAAGACTTGGCTGGAGCCAACAATGGGTCTCTATTTACTGTTTTATTCGCCATTACACTTGTCCCGACTCCCTGCGGCGGAGGGGGGTGTTTTAAATAAGAGTAGGTGGTCCAATGTTTTGGAACCTACTATCCCTCCCAGAAAGCTAGTCAAAGAGCATAACCAGCCACATGATCTGTAGGCAACTGCCTGACAGACAGGTGTTCTGAGAACCCGCTCTCTCCCAGGTCTGAGGAGAAATGGGTCAAACAGATTTAAGACTGTCTTTGCCTCAAAACCCCGCTGCTCCCCAGCTGCTGCCTTGCTACTCACTGTTATGTCCTGGTAGGCTCTTGAATGAAAATAACAAGAGTTCCGAGGTCCTGGAGCCCTTGGGAGACAGGGGACCACGAAGGACTGAAGCTGTGTCCTGAGCAGATACTTGGGGTTGGAGTTGCTATCTTTCTCCTCTCCTGGGACTTGGTACTTGGTGATGGAAGGCTGGCCTACCAAAAATAAACCACAACTGCAAACCCGGGATGTAGGCCAAGGTCCAGTAGGGATAGGCCTGGGGCAGAACTGCATCAAGGGTGCCACCTGGTGGAGGCTGGGGAATGCGCAAGTGGCTTGGGAGCAGGCAAAGCCTGTTTTTTTTTGTTTGTTTGTTTGTTTGTTTGTTTTTTTTTTTTTTTGAGACAGGGTTTCTCTGGGTAGCTTTGCGCCTTTCCTGGAACTCACTTTGTAGTCCAGGCTGGCCTCAAACTCACAGAGATCCGCCTGCCTCTGCCTCCCGAGTGCTGGGATTAAAGGCGTATGCCACCACCGCCCGGCTTTTTTTTTTAAATTATGTGTATGTGTGCACATGAGTGCAGGTGTCTGGGGAGGCCAGGTGTTGGATTTCCCTGGAGCTGGAGTTATAGATGGTTTTAGCTACCTGATGTTGGTGCTGGAAACAAACTCTGGAAAAGCAGTATATGACCTTACTGGATGGGCCAGTTCTCTAGCTGTTGTTGTTTAAGATTGATGTGTATGAACCTTTTGCTGGCAGTATGTATGTGTACCACAGGAATGCCTTATACCCTCAGAGGTCAGAAGAGGGCATTGGATCCCCTGGAACTGGCGTTATAGAGTGTTGGGAGCCAGTGTATGAGTCTGGAAACTGAACCCAGGTCCTCTGACGAGCAGCAAGTGCTCAACATGAGGCATCCATCTTTAGTGACTGGCAACACCAGCTCTGAAAGGAACGCAGTTGTTTTTAAAGAGTCTTGCTACACAGCTCTGACTACCCTTAAATTCACACTCCTGCCTCTGCCTGTATGCTGGGATTACAGGTGTGCACCACCAGGCATGACAGTGACCTGTATTTCTCCTCCAATTCCGCACAACGTTTGACTCACCCACTCGAGACAGACTGGCTCAAACTTGTGGCAATCCTCTTGCCTGCTTCCCAAGCAATGGGATTATGTGTACCACCATGCCCAGTTTGGTTTAAACTTGGAGCAATCCCTGAGAAAGGGCTAGAGTTTGGAGCCCTGTGACAAAGCTTTCCTGAGGTGCTGGGTTCAATACCAAGCCCAGAAGGGTGTGGGTTTAGCCTAGTGTTGCAAGTAGAAATATCCAAACTACAGAGAAAATACCTTTATGGAGTATGGTAGTACTCCATATGGAGTAAACGGTGGAGGGCAGCAGTCTCTAATGCCAGCATTGGGAGGCTGATGCAGGATAACCAGTTAGGCCAATTTGGACTACCTAAAGAAACCCTGTCTCAAAGGGCAACAAAACCAGGCTTCAGACAGCTTAGTGCTGTGACACACTGTAATGATGTGGTGGCCACAGGAGCCCCATCCCATAATACGTCTTATCATTTACCCACTTGATGATCTGCTGACATGGCTGAAGATAGTCCCCAGAGCCTGCTGAATGGAGACAAGCATGCTGCCACATGCTGCCACTAAGGATCACACCCATTCCCTAACACAGCATTAAGCATGTGGTAAACAAAAATCTACGTCTTTTCCATTAAAGGGTTAAATAAGACTTGTGATGCAGACCTTTAGTCCCAGCACTCAAGCAGAAGAGGCAGGCAGGTCTGTGAATTCTAGAACAGGAAGGCCATTATATAAACCCTGCCTTGAAAAAAAAACAGAAGACCCCATATGAAAACAAACGTAGGGGCTAGAGATACGGTTCAGTGATTAGGAGCACCGTCACCTCTTGTGGAACTCAGGTTGTTTCTAGCACCCACATAGATACAACTGTTTGCCAACTCCAGTTCCAGGGGAGCTAGTTTTCTGACCTCTGAGGGTACTACACACACAGTGCACTTATTACACATCCAAGCAAAATACTCACACACGAACAAAAAACTTGTAAATAAGCCTTCTGGCAGAAACAAAAATCCTTTGAGAACCAGTGTTTTTTGAAATGAAAAAAAAAAAAAAAAAAAAAAAGTGCTCAAGGATGTACCCTGCTCTCCAAAGTTGTGCTCTGTGCCAACTGCTTAAGAATGTGAGTGTCGCGCCGGGCGGTGGTGGCGCACGCCTTTAATCCCAGCACTCGGGAGGCAGAGGCAGGCGGATCTTTGTGAGTTCCAGGCCAGCCTGGTCTACAGAGCGAGATCCAGGAAAGGTGCAAAGCTACACAGAGAAACCCTGTCTCGAAAAACCAAAAAAAAAAAAAAAAAAAAAAAGAATGCGTCAGGCTGGAGCGATGGCTCAGCGGTTAAGAGCACTGGCTGTTCTTCCAGAGGTCCTAGGTTCAATTCCCAGCATGGTGGTTCACAACCATCTGTAATGGGATCTGGTGCCCTCTTCTGGCATGCAGGCAGAACATTGTATACATAATAAATAAATCTTAAAAAAAAAAGTGTTTTTTGAAATGAAAAAAAAAAAAGTGCTCAAGGATGTACCTTGCTCTCCAAAGTTGTGCTCTATGCCAACTGCTTAAGAATGTGAGTTACAGGACCTCTTTGCTATAGGAATAAACACCAAAAGGTGGGTGTGCTTACCTGCAGGGTTTCACATTGCTATGCAGCCTTGTATAGAAGTAAAAGTTTTATGGGACCCTGGGCCTGCAGCAGCTAAAACCATTTAAATGAGCAGCATGACTGATGAGCTTTATGAAGCAGCAATGGAACAATTTTATGTTGGGGGTCACCAGGACACGAGAAAGTGTATTAAAGGGTCCAGCGTTAGGAAGGTTGAGAACCACTGGACTAGATTAACCTAGAGGCATGCTGATATAACTGTGCTCCTGTACAAACTCCATTATGTTGAGCAAACACATGTAACTTATGACACCTCAGAAGAAAACAACTTTATTTTCATTAACTCACAAAACACAACACAGTTGGTTCAGGAGGCCATCACTTGCCCAGTGCCAACACTACTACAAGCCTCAGTGAATATCTACACAATTAGAACTCTTTAATAGCTATTCTCAAGCAATGGAGCTATTAGAAGGAAGGTTTAGTCAGGGTCCACACTTGCACTGCCAATCATGTAGAGCCCATTTCAATTTCTTCAGTTTCAACTTCTTGATTAGATCAGACCTGTTAAAAGAAAAGGTTAAGTTAGAAGATACCCAACCATGCCCAGAGACAGTTTTCTTTTTTAAGGCATTTAAGTTTTTCCTTCAACCAAACCAATTCCACCCTTGCCACAACTAAGACACGGTGCATGCGTTTCTAGAGACAAAGGCCTGAAACAGAAATTTAGCCATTTGGGTAGCCAACAAAGAGTTCTAACCATTTTGGACAAGGTCGTGTCCCTGCCCCACGCCCCGCCCCCAAGGGTAGAAAACCGGAAAACAGCATTGTAATGGACAGTAAACTGGTGAAAGTACAAGGGAAAGGACAGAAACAGTGTGACTGCCAACCCTCCAGGAGGCCTAGTCAGGGGTTCTACTTGGGGACTTAACTCCAACACCCCAGGGGGTTCAGGACCATCACTCTGCGCAGATGGACAGGTCACTTACCATTTGCAATTCTGCACTGCCGCAACACCTCATTGAAGCCCTCGCAGAGCTTGACATCACTCTGGTTCTGGGCACACTCCAGAAACTGTTTGATCTCAAGAGAGCAAGGCCCAAAAGACTGCTGGTTCACAGGCTGGGTTCCCTGGGGCTCCTGCCAAGACACAATATTAGGTACTCCTGAGAAGTCAGCTCAGTACACACAAGGCTCTGGACTTGACCCCAACATTGTAAACACAAAGTAAAAAATTAAAAAACAAAAACCAAAAAAACAGCCAGGCGGTGGTAGTGGTACACGCCTTTAATGCCAGCACTCAGAGGTAGAGGTAGATGGATCTCTGTGAGTTCAGGGCCAGCCTGGCATACAGAACTAGCTCCAGGACACCCAGGGCTACACAAAACCCTCCTCTATCAAAACAAACAACAAACCTGGCTGTGTACTTGAAAGGCGCAAAGCTACACAGAGAAACCCTGTCTCGAAAAACCAAACAAAAAAGACTGTGTACTTGGCCCTGGGTTTGATCCCCAGCACTATAAACATATATACAAGAAAGTGAACCATTCTTAAGGAAAAATAGGACTATAGGACTATTATGGGAAAGAGATGGGTGAAAACTTCAGATACACCAGATTTCAAGAAATTACATGCTCCTTAGAAAGGAAAATCCACATATGGGGGGGGGATGCAAAAATAGCAGGGAAGGGGTCATAGAACTATGAAAGGGACTTGTGATTATGTCACTGAGACTGAACTCAAAGGTCAGGCCTCATGGCTGTAACTCCAACACTTGAGATGCCAACCCAGAAGGATACAAGCTTGAAGCCAGCTTGGGTCCCACACTGAAGACTGTCTCCAAGTGAACTAACAGGAATCCAGAATAAGTGTAGCCAAGAAAAACCTTTAACAACCAAGGCAGGAGGATTGCCATGAGTTCAAGGCTAGCTTGAGTGAGGTCCTCTCCAAAACAAAAATCATCTAAAGGGAAAATGGCCATCTTATCGTAGGTTGGGCTAGACTGTTCTAATTCTAGTCTGTTCTACTTGCTGATGCTCGCCTAAGGGTCTAATTCAAACCACGCCATGTGGCTTTTGTGTGTGATGCTCCCACATGAGTGTGTGGGTGGGTGTGCCCATGGGAAGGCCAACCAAGACATGGGGTGTCTTCTCTCTGCCTCTCTCCATCCTACTGCCTTGAGACAGGGCCTCTCACTGAAAACGGTCATTTCATCTGCCACCCAGCCAGGTTGTGGGATCTGCTTGTCTCCCCTCCACAACGCAGAACTTACAGATATGGATGGCTATGCCTGACTTTTTGTGGGTTCATGGGATTTGAACTCAGGTCTCCACAGCTTATTCACTTATAAAAAGTGCTTATTCACTGAGCCATACCCCCAGCAACCTCCACTTAAAAAAAGGTGGGGAGGGGAGGCACACCACTTTGTACTTAAAGTACTGTGGACCCTAAAATTAAACCCAGGGTCCTACATAAAAGAAGTGTTCTCAGAAGAGAAAAACACAGAGAGGAAAGCTGCCCCAATCTCACCTGGTAAGTGATGTCAGGCCTTGCGGGCTCAGCATTACCACCTCCACTGAAGCCCCCGGTGATGGCATGACCCAGGGTGTGCCCCACTGCGGAGCCCACAGCCACACCAGCTGCAGTGGTGGCCATCTGGGCCATCAGGCCTGGCTGCCTGGGGGCGGCGGCAGGTGAGCCAACTGCAGATGGTGCAGCTGCTGCTGGAGGGTGAGCTGCAGGTGCTTGTCTGGGAGCAGCCCTCATCTGAGGGGCCCGGCTAGGGAAGAGAAGAACAAAACCCATCAGTCCCCACTTCCAAACGGCTCTGGAATTTACTGAAGAAATGCAACAAGCCAGGTTCGGTGGCCTCACCTGGAATACCAGCACTGGGCTGTTAGAGACAGGAAAAATCAATAGGCCAAAGTCATCGCAGCGACACAGTGATTTCTTCCTCTTCTACGCTATTATTCATATATTTTCAGAGTATAATAATAGTGACATTTCTCCCCTTCTTCCCTCCAAACCCCCTCCCATATATATAGCCCTCTTTGAGGATTTCAAATAACCGGCCCCAGTCTGCATGTTACTTGTGTGTATGTTTTCAGGGCTGGCCTCTTGGTACTGGATAACTAATGGGTGTGCTCTCGCTGGGGAATTCTATTCTCCTGCTCTCAGCATTCCTTGTGGGCTTTTCACCGAACACTCTGGCACATCTACTGCCATCCTTGTTCTACACTGTGAATAAGGCCAGCCTGAGAAAGGATACCCTCCTCTCAAAAACCAAAACCAACCAACCAAACACCCTAGCCAAAACAGTAGCTCTGAACCTGTGACTCCTCCTACATCAGCCTCATCCAGTGCTGGGATTACAAGCATTTGTCACCCTGCCTGGCTTCAGTTTAAATCGATCTTATTTTATTGTTATATTTTATGTGGATGATTGTTTACATGCATGCATGTCTGTGTTCTACTTGCATGCCAGAAGAGGGCTTTGGATCACCTGGACCTGGAGTTACAGATGGTTTTGAGGGGCCATGTGGGTGCTGGGAATCAAACCTGTATCCTCTGGAAGATCGGTTGGTGCTCTTAACTATAAAGCTAACTTTCCAGCCTCATTTTAAATCTGTCTGCTTGATTTTGGAGACAAGGTTTCTGTGTGGCCCTGGCTGTCCTGGAACTTGCCCTGTCTCCCAAGTACTGGAATTAAAGGCGTGTGCCACAACTGCCTGGCATCATTTTAAACTTTTAAATATCCATACCACCCACATGCAAGAGAACTACAGGAACTTGTTCTCATAACTGATTGTACATATATATAGCACTGTACCTCTTTAATCTTTTGTTGTTAAGCCCCATCCCCCTCAAGACAGGGTTTCTTTGTGTATTCTTACTACCTCTGGAGACCGGGCTGGCCTCATATTCACAAAAGATCCACCTGCCTTTTCCTCCGGAGTGATGGGATCAAAGGTGTGCACCACCACCAGGCTTATTAACGTTTTAACAACCAAGTATAAATTTTCTTTCTTTCTTTCTTTTTTAAACTATTTTCATGTATCTGCATGCCCCACAGTATCTTTAAAGGACAGTCATTCCAGCCAGATGTGATAGCGCACGCCTTTAATCCCAGCACACTGGGAGGCAGAGGCAGGGGGATCTCTTGAGTTCTAGGCCAGCGTGGTCTACAGAGTGAGTTCCAGGACAGCCAGGGCTTCACAAGAAGACCCTGTCCCGGAAAAATAAGTAAATAATTAGAGCTTGGGGAGCTGATGAAATGCCTCACAGGGGGAAAGGTGCTTGCTGCCAAACCTGACAACCTGAGTTCGATCCCTGAAATCCACAAAGAAGGAAACAACCAACTCCCACAAGCTGCCCTGTGACCTTCACACAAGTACACAGACATAGTCAGCTGGGTGTGGTAGGGTGGCCCACACCTTGAATCCCAGCATTCAGAAGGCAGAGGCAGGTGGATCTCTGAGTTCCAGGGCAGCCAGGGCCAGAGTGAAACCCTGTCTCAAAAGAAACAAAATAAACCACCAACCCAAACCAAAAAAGAAAAAATTGGGGGAAGTGATCTGTCTGAACTGCAGCTTTTATTAATTTTATTTCTCTTTCCGTTTTAACAGCCAGGGTCTCTCCATATAGTTCCGCTAGGCTTGAACTGGTGGCAACTCCCGCCTTTGTGGAGATAGAGGCATGAGGGGACTATCTTGGTGGTAGATGGGACATTCCCCTACCATTTACACAGCACTTTGGTTCCCTCCCAGTATGGCCAAAATTTTAAACTTTCTACTATTTCACCCCCCTAAGTGGGACATCTGGAATCTGGATGCTGTCAACAATTTGCTACTAATCTTCACGTGGTAGATGTCTCAACAGACCGTTGGCCACTGTTAGATCTTCTGGACCAAAGTGGTGGAAGGAGAGAACTCTAAATTCTGGGCTCTCCACACGAGGGCCCGTACACAAATATTTAAAAAAAAAAAAAATTTCTAAAGACCTTTAAACCCTGTAAGCTCATCCGTGGGGAAGCGGAGTCAGGAAAACCAAAGAAGGCCAGCCAGGCCTACGCGAAGTTCAAGGCTAGCCCGAGGGCCTCAAAAACACAGTGAAACAAACCACCCAAGAGCCTCACCGCTGTCATTCCTTCCCCGCCTCTTTCTAGACTATGTCCTCTAAGGCCCTTCCCCCAAGCAGGCTAGGAAAAAGGTCACGCTTTGGTGTCGTTCTCGCGGATCCCTTCCCGATCGCTCGCACCGTCTCACCACCGGCCGCTCTCTGGCTGTGGAACCTCGCCCCGGCCGTCGGCGCCCAACCCCGCCCGCGTCCCCAGGAGGGTCTCACCTGGCCGGAGGGGCCACCCGGGAAGAGCGGCTTCGGCTTCCACGCGGCATCCTAAGCGCTCACACTCTCGGAGTCAGAAAACGACTAACTGCGAAACGCCCACGACTGTCCAGCAACTTCTACCAAGGAGAGCGGAAGGCGGGAGGCGGGTCCTCAAGGCCCAGCCAATCAGCACCCAGAGAAGCACGAGCGCTGAAGGTCATTGGAAGAGCAAGACGTCAGTCACGGGCAACGCCGTGATGCAGCGTCTTACGCACGGAAGTCAAGAGCTGGGCGAGCAAGCCCTGTAGCTAACCGGAAGTTTCTGGTGTTGCGCTCTCAACTCTTGTCCCCGGATTCTCTGCTGGATGGTTAGGTTTTTGCGTCCCATGGACGCCTGGCTTTCCCCACGACTCAGGCTGTCCTTGATTTTAAGATCGTCCTGCCTCAGCCTCTCAAGAGAACTGGATTGAGAGAATTGCAGGCATATGACGCCATGCCTACTGTATTAACAAGGTTAAATGCAATCTTGGCTGAGTCATTTCTGCCTTGTCTACCAGAGGGCCTTGGACTGTTTACTCAGCCCTTCTCAGATTGTTTTGTTTTGGGACAAGGCCTCACATAACGGAAGCTGGCCTGGAACTCGCTGTTCTCATGACTCAGTCTCTTACTGCTGGAGACTCATAGTAATGCAGGACAAACTCATAGTTAAATTGATGTTGTAAAGGATTTACTAATAAACTTGCTTGGAAATAACTAAGTTACATAAAGTAGAATTTAGCTAAAGGAGCCTCCAGTATGCCTGGAAGATAGTGTACTAACCAGGATTGTCAGAAACTATGGGAAAGATAATTCTGCACCTTAATTGAAGTTTGGGGTAGCCAAAAAAGTTTCTGCTACTGTTTATTCACCAAGGTTGACCAATTAGGTGCCATTCCCATAATAAAAGGAGACCATCCTGACTTAGAACTAGCTGTGAGACTTATCCCCATATCAAAGAACATGTTTTAAAAGAAATGTTTCTCGCCGGGCGGTGGTGGTGCACGCCTTTAATCCCAGCACTCAGGAGGCAGAGGCAGGCAGATCTCTGTGAGTTCGAGGCCAGCTTGGGCTACAGAGTGAGTTCCAGGACAGGCTCCAAAGCTACACAGAGAAACCCTGTCTCGAAAAACCAAAAAAGAAAAGAAATGGTTCTTAACCTGTGTGTGTCGAGACACAACCTCTATCTTTCTCGGTGCGGCCCAGCCCACATACAGATACGTCCACATTTGTACCCCGAACTGTATTAAAGGATCACAACATCGACAAGGTTGAGAACCTTTGGATCTAGACCTTCAGTCACGGCCACAAAAACTTGTAGTTCCCTGACCTGAGACCCTTACCTGGTGGTGACCCGAGCCCGGTGACTGGCCGAGCCGTCTGCTGTGTCGATCCATGATGCCCCTCGGAGGACACGCATGTTCTGGCCAGTAGATTGGTAGGTGGATGCGGTCCATTCCCACACATTGCCCATGAGATCATATAGTCCTTCAGCATAGCAGCAGGTCATTATATGGGGCAATAGGGGACTCTCTCCCCCTCCACCAAATGTCCTGGACAGGCTAGGGAAGTTTTACTCCACCCCATTGTCAGACACTGTACAATAGGAGGTCTTACCATAGTTGTTCTGAGGGGGGAAAGCATTCACTGGTGACAGTCCATGAAAACCATCTTCAGCTCTGTCATCCTTGGGGAACTTTCCCTGATGAGAACAATGAAAGTGAGAGATTTATCAGCCTGTCCCAAGGCAGGTGCTCCTGTCCACCGAGAGAAAAACCAGGTCACTCCATTCTGCTGTTTCATTGGGGAAGGAGAGTGACCTCAGCTTCCCTTACAGGGTGCTTTAGAAAAAACACTGTCTACCCATCTATGTTCTACATCCCTTGCCCAGGATAGAGGCATTGGAGCCCATACTTTCCCATATCTCCTGCTTTTATTTAAATACACTATATTTATTGATGCAATTTGTTCAATTTCATTATTCTTCTCATCAAAACTGGGGTTCAGGAGCTGGAGAGATGGCCCAATGGGTATGCATTTGCTGTGTAAGCATGAGAACCCGAGTTCATATCCTGAGAATCCACTAAGCTGGCCACAGTGGCATGCATCTGTAACTCTGGTTCTGGGGGAGGCAGAGACAGGCAGACCCTGGGGACTGGTTGGCTAGGCAGTCTAGCTGAAATGGTGAGCCCCATCTCCCACTGAGAAGTCCTGTCTCCAAAATTACTGTGGAGTGGCTGGAGAGATGGTTCTGCAGTTAAGGGCATGTACTGTGCTTGCAGAGGACCCAAGCATCCCTGAGTTTCATTCCTAACACCCATGTCAGATGGCTAAAAACTATGACTCCAGCTCCAGGGGGATCCAATACCTCTAGCACTCATGTATACACACACACACACACACACACACACACACACACACACACAACATACACAATTAAAAAAAAAAATAAAGTGAGCCGGGCGGTGGTGGCGCACGCCTTTAATCCCAGCACTCGGGAGGCAGAGCCAGGCGGATCTCTGTGAGTTCGAGGCCAGCCTGGGCTACCAAGTGAGTTCCAGGAAAGGCGCAAAGCTACACAGAGAAACCCTGTCTCGAAAGACCAAAAATAAATAAATAAATAAATAAATAAAAATAAAGTGAAGGGGGCTGGAGAGATGGCTCAGGGGTGAAGAGCACTGGCTACTCTACCAGATGTCCTGAGTTCAATTCCCAGCAACCACATGGTGGCTCACAACCATCTGTAATGAGATCTGGCGCCCTCTTCTGGCCTGCAGGCATACATACAGGCAGAACACTGTATACATAATAAATAAATCAGTCTAATATATATATATATATATGTGTGTGTGTGTGTGTGTGTGTGTGTGTGTATACACACACACACATTTATAAGTTACCATACCCAGCTTCATAATTTAAATATTTTGTGTATATATACCCTCAGAAGCAACTGAGGAAGACACCGTACATGAACATACCTGCACAAACATGCACACATCACACATATGCCCAACTAACAAATTGCGGTTCAGGTGCCAGTATGCTAGAGAAGCTCCTCCCACTCCAGGGAAGTTGACTAGGCTGTCATTTGCTCAACAATATGTGACAGTCTGTTGCATTCTCTCTCTCTCTCTCTCTCTCTCTCTCTCTCTCTCTCTCTCTCTCTCTCTCTTTTCTCTTGAGACAGGGTTTCTCTGTGTAGCTTTTGGAGCCTGTCCTGGAACTCACTCTGTAGACCAGGCTGGCCTCGAACTCACAGGGATCCACCTTCCTCTGCCTCTGCCTCTTGAGTGCTGAGACTAAAGGCGTGCACCGCCACCACTGCCTGGCTGCATTATTTCTTTTAATAACAATGTTGTAAGGGTATTGGTGAGATGAAGGTGTTTACTGCCAAGGCTGAGGACCTGAGTTAGATCCCCTGACAGGCATTGGAGGAGAGAATCCACTCGAATAAGTTGTTCTCTGACTTCCACAAGAAAAAGAAAAGGAAAAGAGGTAGACTGTGACTGAACATGTCTCACTAAAAGTCTAGATTCTGGGGCTGGAGAGATGGCTCAGTGGTTAAGAGCACCGACCCTTTCAGAGGTCCTGTGTTCAGTTCCCAGTAATGACATGGTGGCTCACAACTACCTGTAATGAGATCTGGTGCCCTGTTCTGGCCTGCAGGGACACATGCATGATAATTTACATAATGAATAAGTCTAAAAAAAAGTTAAGATTTCTAATATTACAATTGTTCCTACTTCTTTACAGGTGCTGTTGACTGTGGCTACGATTGCTCTCTATTTACAGTTGTACTCCAGTTTGCCTTAGCATCATGTTCCCGTCTTTTAACGGGGGGAATAGAAGGTGCACTTGTTACAGTAGATACCTTAATATTACTTTGTAAGGCTAGGGACTGTCCCCATCCAACAGGTCCCATTGTTTGGCTGAAGGAAAGAAGACAAATCCTTTTTACCCAAATGGAAGGAGGGTGACTGGGATGGACTAAATTGACCAACCAGTCCCAATGTAACAATACAGATTTGAGCATCATTAAATATTCTTTGACAAAAATCTGGTAGTGGAAGTCACAAGTGTATTAAGACGAAAAAGGGAAAGCAGACTCCTTAGTCGCTTCCATCAAAATGAACCTACCTAAATAATGCCACTGTCTAAAGCTAGTAGATATATGCCAATTTTGGGCTCCACCGTAGGAGTCACATATAAACATTATAACATTATACCAACTTAACGGTACGCAATGGAACAGGCCCCTGTAGAGCGTGTCCCCAAGGTTATAGCGATATTCTCATAGATAATGCCTCTTTCCTTCACTGCCTATGTTCTGACGTTTCTCCCCAGTGCAGCACAATTTCCAAGGTTATGCCTTGGGATGGACTTTTTTGTTTTTGTTTTTTGTTTGTTTTCCGAGACAGGGTTTCCATGTGTAGCTTGGGAGCCTGTCCTGGAACTCACTCTGTAGCTCAGGCTGGCCTCGAACTCACAGAGATCCACCTGCCTCTGCCTCCCGAGTGCTGGGATTAAAGGCGTGCGCCACCACCCCCCAGCAGATGGACTTTTTTTTTTTTTCTGTGAGAATAACACTTATTCTGCCCTCCCCGAAGGTTATAAGGGCATATGTGGGCAAAGACAAATCCCACCTATTTTATTCGGTTGTCTCTACCATCTGCTAATAGGAGTATGGAGTCAGGGAACAGAAAACTCTGAGGACTCCCTACATCTGCTAGACCCCACCTCAATAGCAGTCGCCGGTGCCTTTGTATTTCCTGGGCCTGGATTGGTCGTGAGGATGCAAAAGGAGATTTCTAAAATAGCCTGCTTAATAGCTAAAACTCCTAGTACTACAGCAAAGATATTGGCAAAAATTAATCATGAAATGGAAGAGTTAAGATCGACAGTCTTGGGCTGGAGAGATGGCTCAGAGGTTAAGAGCACAGGCTGCTCTTCCAGAGGTCCTGAGTTCAATTCCCAGCAACCACATGGTGGCTCACAACCATCTGTAAAGAGATCTGGTGCCCTCTTCTGGCCTGCATGGATAAATGCAGACAGAACATTGTATTCATAATAAATAAATAAATCTTAAAAAAAAAAAAAAAGTGGATTCACCCACTACAAACCAAGCAGAACTAATTTCTCACAGGTGTGCCTTCCATTTCTGGAGCGTAGTACATTCCAGATGTAGTCAAGTTGACAATCACAGATAGCCATCTCAGGTGGGCAGAGCAAGAGGAATGGAGACATGAAACTTGAGGGTTTTTTTTAAAAAAAAAAAAAAAAAAAAAGAATGACAGTCTTGCCGGGAGGTGGTGGTGCACACCTTTAATCCCAGCAGAGGCAGGTGGATCTCTGTGAGTTCGATGCCAGCCTGGGCTACAAAATGAGTTCCAGGACAGCCAGGGCTACACAGAAAAATTGCCTTAAAGAAAGAAAAGAAAAGAAAAAAACAAAACAACAACAACAACAACAACAAAAAACCCCTACAGTCTTACAAAGTAGAGCTACCAAAGAGTTTCTATTGCTCAAACATAATCTTGGATGTCAACCATTTCCTGCAATGTGTTGTTGCCATGAATCAGATTTCTCCCACACCATTGATAACCAAACCAAGGACTTACAGAGAGGAATAAAACTGGCCCCCCCTGGCTAAGATGGTTCTCTCCCTTCACTGGCCTCTGATCGTTCTCTCATTAATCATAATATTTAGGCCCTGGGTATTTCAATGTATTACTAGCCTTATCACGCCCAAGATATTCAATGCCAGAATCATGTTGGATAAGTAAAAACCCCCTGGTAGTGAGTAACTCCTCTGAAGTAATAAATCAGATCAGGCCAAATTAATAAGTCCATGTTTAATCTGAGCAGAGCTAAGTGTGTGTGTGTGTGTGTGGGGTGTCTCAACACGACCAGGAGGGGGCAGTCTATGGGTCAGACCCTTAAATACCCTGGGAGCGGGGTGGAGCTGCTGCTTGGAGGGCTTTCTCAGGCAGTGGTCTAGGGAGCGAGGCAGGAGTGGGGCCTAGGTGGGGCCACCTAAACACTGTTTACCCAACAATAGCATCAAGTAATGCTGCTCCCTTGTCAAAGGTTTGGAAGGATTACACAGGCCAAGCGGGGGAGGGTGAGACTAAACAGGAGCAACATACCTTGCAAATCAAGGGGTCCATTATGTTAAGCCCCCACCCATACTTTACAGAAGAAGGTTACTATTAAAGAATGTCTGTTTCTTAAGTCTGATGTGTGACCCTGTTAAAAAGATGTATATCCCTGTCTCCCCCTTTCATTGTATTTTTCTAACATTCTCTAACAGCCAATTCTCTAGCCTCTGTAAACACACAGCTGTTTTCTATTAATCTTTCTTTGGTCTGGCCTCGAACTCACAGAGATCTGCCTGCCTCTGCCTCCCGGAGTGCTGGCACTAAAGGCGTGCGCCACCACCGCCCGGCCTCTATTAATCTTTTATCTCTCCCCGATAAAGGGACTTCAAAAATCCATTAAGGGGTTGCTTTTTAAATGCCGACTTAGTGTAAGATAGCTGGCCGGCCAGTCCGGGGTGTACCTCTAAATTAAGGCTTGCTTTGTGTAGACAATCATGGATTTAGTCTTTCTCTACGTAATTTTCAGGTTTAACACTTGTTAACACAGTACGCATGGCGGCACATGCCTGTAATGCCCCAGTCCGGTTTACTTGAGAGGCTGAGGCAGGACGATCTCGAAATCAAGGAAAGCCCGTGTTGTGGAGGAAGTCAGTTGTCCATTGGAAACAAAAACCTAACCATCACGGAATCTAAGGACAAGCTTTGACAGAGCCATCCCAAGAACTTCCGGTTAGCTACAGCGCCCCGTCGCCAAGCAACTTCCCGGCGTGGGACGCAGCCGCTGCCGGTTACTGACGCCTCGCTCTTCCAATGACCTTCAGCGGCCGTGCTTCTCCTGGGTTCTGATTGGCTATGCTCTGAGGCCCCGCCTCGCACCTTCCTTTCTTTGCTGGACGCTCGTGGGCGTTTCAAAGTTTGTTGTGTCTGGACGCTGAAATTACTAGCACCCAGGATGCCGCGTGGAAGCGGAAGCGGCTCTTCCCGGGTGGTCCCTCCGGCCAGGTGAGACCCTCCTGGGGGCTGGTGGGGAAGAGCTTTTGAGGACATAGTCTAGAAAGAGGCGGGGAAAGAATGATTTATGCGACGATCTTGAGGTGGGTTTGTCTCACTGTGTTTTTGAGGCCCTCGGGCTAGCCTTGAACTTCACATAGGCTTGGCTGGCCTTTCTTGATTTTCCAGACTCGGCTTTCCCACGGCTGGGATTACAGGCTTTAAAGGTCTTTAGAAAAAAAAAATTATTTTAAAAATATTTATTTGTGTGCGGGCCTCTGTGTGGAGAGCGGAGAATTTAGAGTTCTCTCTATCCACCACTTCAGTCCAGGAGACCTAATATTTAGTGGTAAATGCTCTATTGCAGTGATTCCCAACCTTCCTAGTGCTGTGACTCCTTAATACAGTTCACCATGTAGTGGTGACCACCAATAATAAAATTACTTTTGGCCGGGCGGTGGTGGCGCACACCTTTAATCCCAGCACTCGGGAGGCAGAGCAGGTGGATCTCTGTGAGATTGAGGCCAGCCTGGGCTACAGAGTGAGTTTCAGGAGAAGGCGCCAAAGCTACACAGAGAAACCCTGTCTCAAAAAATAAATAAATAAATAATATTTTGTTGCTACTTCATAACTGTAATTTTGCTATTGTTGACACCATCCAGACTCCAGGTGTTCAACTTTTGGGGAATAAAATCGTAGACAGTTAAAAAAATATGGTCATACTGGGAGGGAACCAGAGTACTGTGTATATGGTTGGGGAATGTCCCATCTACCACCAAGATAGTCTCTCCCCCCCCCACACTCCTGTCTCCACAAAGGCAAGACTTGCCACCAGTTCAAGCCTAGCGGAACTATCTATGGAGAGACCCTGGCTCTAAACACGGAAAGAGAAATAAAATTAATAAAAGTTGCAGTTTAGATAGGTCACTTTCCCCAATGTTTTTTTTTTCCTTTTTGGATTGGGTTGGTGGTTTATTTTGTTTCTTTTGAGACAGGGTTTCACTGTGGCCCTGGCTGTCCTGGAACTCAGAGACCCACCTGCCTCTGCCTCCTGAATGCTGGGATTAAAGGTATGGGCCACCCTACCATACCCACCCGATTTAACCTTTTCTAATTGGTAAAATGAGGCCTTGGTCTACAGTCTGAACATTAGCTACCTCATGGCTGTCTTGGATTTTGTTGACTTTTGACTGTCTTTCTCCATTGCCCAAGCTGGTCCCAAAGCCACGTACTAAATGATCTTGTCCCCCTCACTGAGGAGCTGGAACTGTACCTTCTGTACATTTCTCTTTCTGGTTTAGTCAGCCCAGGGTCTCATGCCTGCTAGGAAAATGTTTTGTTAACCTAAGCTCTAACTCTTTTCATGTCTATTTGTGTGTGTATGTCTGTGGTGCCTCTGTGAAGGTCAAGGGCATCTTGTGGAAATTGGTTGTTTCCTTCCACCTTGTGGGTTCCAGGGATTGAACTCAGGTTGTGTCAGACTTCGCAGCAAGTCCCTTCCTCCAGTGAGACATTTTATCAGACACACACACACACACACACACACACACACACACACACAGCTCTAAATCTTTATTCAGGTATTAACTAGGTTAGGGAGACTCCTTCATTGTCCTAAAATTTCAATACACCTTGGCATCCATTCTCAACCTGTGGGTCAGGACAACCAGTGGCCAACTTTTGTCTCCAAACATGTATACATTAAGATTCGTAACAGGGCTGGAGAGATGGCTCAGAGGTTAAGAGCACTGACTGCTCTTCCAGAGGTCCTGAGTTCAATTCCCAGCAACCACATGGTGGCTCACAACCATCCATAATGAGATCTGGCGCCCTCTTCTGACCTGCAGGTGTATATGCAGACAGAACACTGTATACATAATAAATAAATTTAAAAAAAAAGATTCGTAACAGTAGCAAAGTTACAGTTATGAAGTAGCAACAAAAATAATTTCATGGTTGTGGGGTGGGGTGGGGGGTAGAGGTGGGGGGGTGGGGTGGAGTGGGGGGGTCACCACACCATGAGTAACTGTATTAAAAGGTTGTAGCATTAGGAAGATTGAGATGCAGTGGATTCCATGGCAACAGCCCTCTGGTATTTCTTCTTTAATACGATGACATTTAATTTGAAACTGATAGAGTAATAAAATGAAAGCTGTTTGCTCGTCTGTAGTTCTTGCTGCCCTAAAACTCACTCTGTAGACTGGAATGGCCTTGAACTTACAGAGATCCGCCTGCCTCTGCCTCCCCAGTACTGGGATTAAAGACGTGGGCCACCACCACCTGGCCTGAAGTACTGTTGTACAGGTTGTAGCCGTTTTAATATTTGAATAATCTTTCAGGCTGTCATTGTCTGTGAGTGGGTATGGGCAAATGAAGTGGGGATGTGAGCCGGGGAAGGCCCAAGGTGTCAGAGGGCCTGTAGCTGAGATTCACCACCGTGGTTAAGAGCTACTGAGAACTGAACTTGGGGCCTGTGGGAGAGCAGAATGCAATCTTCACTGTTGAGCGGCCTCTCCATCTTACCTTCTTACTCTCCCTTTTGTTGTTGTTGTTGTTGGTTGTTTTTCAAGACAGGGTTTCTCTGTGTAGCCCTGGCTGTCCTGGAACTCGAACTGTAGACCAGGCTGGCCTTGAACTCAGAGAGCCTCCCGCCTTTGCCTCCCAGGTCCTGGGATTAAAGGTGTATGCACCACTGCCTGGCCCTTTCTAACTCTTAATAGTCTATGAAGTATTGGGATCACTGGTTTTTGTTTTTTTTTTAAAGATACTGTGAGCCATGTGGATACATGAAAACAGTTACAAAAAAAGACAAAATAGTGTATGGTTTTTAAAGATTAAATAAGTACAGCAATACATACACACACACACACACACACACATATATGTATATATATGCAGTAATTGGAAACAGTTTCTGTAGTCTTCTTGCATGGGTTTGCTATGGGTGTTTAAAGATTTAAAATGAGGCTGGAAAGTTGGCTTTATAGTTAAGAACATCCACCACTCTTCAGAGGACACAGGTTTGATTCCCAGCATCCACACGGCCCCTCAAAACCATCTGTAACTCCAGGTCCAGGTGATCCAAAGCCCTCTTCTGGCATGCAAGTAGAACACAGACATGCATGCATGTAAACAATCATCCACATAAAATATAACAATAAAATAAGATCGATTTAAACTGAAGCCAGGCAGGGTGACAAATGCTTGTAATCCCAGCACTGGATGAGGCTGATGTAGGAGGAGTCACAGGTTCAGAGCTACTGTTTTGGCTAGGGTGTTTGGTTGGTTGGTTTTGGTGTTTGAGAGGAGGGTATCCTTTCTCAGGCTGGCCTTATTCACAGTGTAGAACAAGGATGGCAGTAGATATGCCAGAGTGTTCGGTGAAAAGCCCACAAGGAATGCTGAGAGCAGGAGAATAGAATTCCCCAGCGAGAGCACACCCATTAGTTATCCAGTACCAAGAGGCCAGCCCTGAAAACATACACACAAGTAACATGCAGACTGGGGCCGGTTATTTGAAATCATCAAAGAGGGGTATATACATGGGAGGGGGTTTGGAGGGAAGAAGGGGAGAAATGTCACAATTATTATACTCTGAAAAATGAATAATAGCGTAGAAGAGGAAGAAATCACTGTGTCGCTGCGATGACTTTGGCCTGTTGATTTTTCCTGTCTCTAACAGCCCAGTGCTGGTATTCCAGGTGAGGCCACCGAACCTGGCTTGTTGCATTTCTTCAGTAAATTCCAGAGCCGTTTGGAAGTGGGGACTGATGGGTTTTGTTCTTCTCTTCCCTAGCCGGGCCCCTCAGATGAGGGCTGCTCCCAGACAAGCACCTGCAGCTCATCCTCCAGCAGCAGCCGCCCCGTCTGCAGTTGGCTCACCTGCCGCCGCCCCCAGGCAGCCAGGCCTGATGGCCCAGATGGCCACCACTGCAGCTGGTGTGGCTTTGGGCTCCGCAGTGGGGCACACCCTGGGTCATGCCATCACCGGGGGCTTCAGTGGAGGTGGTAATGCTGAGCCCGCAAGGCCTGACATCACTTACCAGGTGAGATTGGGGCAGCTTTCCTCTCTGTGTTTTTCTCTTCTGAGAACACTTCTTTTATGTAGGACCCTGGGTTTAATTTTAGGATCCACAATACTTTAAGTACAAAGTGGTGTGCCTCTCCTCCCCACCTTTTTTTAAGTGTAGGTTGCTGGGGGTATGGCTTAGTGAATAAGCACTTATTATAAGTGAATAAGCTGTGGGGACCTGAGTTCAAATCCCATGAACCCACAAAAAGTCAGGCATAGCCATCCATATCTGTAAGTTCTGCATCGTGGAGGGGAGACAAGCAGATCCCACAGCCTGGCTGGGTGGCAGATGAAATGACCGTTTTCAGTGAGAGGCCCTGTCTCAAGGCAGTAGGATGGAGAGAGGCAGAGAGAAGACACCCCATGTCTTGGTTGGCCTCCCCATGGGCACACCTTCCCACACACTCATGTGTGAGCATCACACACAAAAGCCACATGGCATGGTTTGAGTTAGACCCTTAGGCGAGCATCAGCAAGTAGAACAGACTAGAATTAGAACAGTCTAGCCCAACCTACGATAAGATGGCCATTTTCCCCTTTAGATGATTTTTGTTTTGGAGAGGACCTCACTCAAGCTAGCCTTGAACTCATGGCAATCCTCCTGCCTTGGTTGTTAAAGGTTTTTCTTGACTACACTTATTCTGGATTCCTGTTAGTTCACTTGGAGACAAAGTCTTCAGTGTGGGACCCAAGCTGGCTTCAAGCTTGTAGCCTTCTTCTGGGTTGGCTTCTCAAGTGTTGGAGTTACAGCCATGGAGTTACTCAAAGGCCTGGCCTTTGAGTTCAGTCTCGGTGACATAATCACAAGTCCCTTTCATAGCTCTATGACCCCTTCCCTGCTATTTTTTTGCCCCCCTCCCCATATGTGGATTTTCCCTTCTAAGGAGCATATAATTTCTTGAAATCTGGTGTATCTGAAGTTTTCATCCATCTCTTTCCCATAATAGTCCTATGTTTCTTTAAGAATGGTTCACTTTCTCGTATATCTGTTTGTAGTACTGGGGATCAAACCCAGGGCCAAGTACACAGTCTTATATTGACTCCCTAGCCAGGTTAGTTGTGTTTTGTGTTTGTTTTTTGTTGTTGTTTTCCTGAGACAGGGTTTCTCTGTGTAGCCCTGGCTGTTCTGAAACTCACTCCTTAGACCAGGATGGCCCCAAACTCAGAGACTTGCCTGCCTCTACTTCCTGAGCGCTGGGATTAAAGGTGTGCACCACCACCACCACCACCACCACCACCACCGGCCAGATTTTAATGTTTTGATTTTGTATTTATAGTGTTAGGATCCAGCCCAGAGCCTGTGTTTCCTGAGCAAACACGTCATAGACCCGCCACCCTCCCATTCAGACTCTGGATGACCTTCGTTTGTTCTTTGGTTTTGAGTTGGAGGGTATCTTTCTCCTTAAACCTTAAAGGTTGTTTTGCCTTCTCTCTTTAAATGGTTTTCACTACCGTGTTCCTAGACAGAAAACTAAACGTGTGCCTTTTTCTAGTTGTTTCCCTGGCCTGCAGTCTGTAAATGCTGCCCTTGCTGTATACACCTACACTTTCTCAGGAGTACCTAATGTTATGTCTTGGCAGGAGCCCCAGGGAACCCAGCTGGTGAACCAGCAGTCTTTTGGGCCTTGCTCTCTTGATATCAAACAGTTTCTGGAGTGTGCCCAGAACCAGAGTGACGTCAAGCTCTGCGAGAGCTTCAGTGAGGTTTTGCAGCAGTACAGAATTGCAAATGGTAAGTGACCTGTCCGTCTGCTCAGAGTGATAGTCCTGAACCCCTTAGGGTGGCCGTTCTCAACTTATATGAGTTGTGACCTCTTTGGGGTCGAAAGACCTTTTCACTGGGGTTATCTAAGTTCATTGGAAAACGCATATTTGTGATGGTCTTAGGAACTGAGACTCTGCTTTACCATAGTCTTGGGTGGGTCTGCCTACATGCAGATAAGCCCACCTAGGAATAATCAGGGTGGTGGCATCATTGTGCCCACCCCATCACTTACACCCTGTACAAATACAGGTGTATGTGACAGGGTTGGTGCCAAAATGTAGTTATGCAGAGCAGTCACACATCTGTAGAAAGCAGCTACTGTGTTGAAAGCAGCAGTATTGGAGGTAAAAAATGACACCTCATGAATTATAATTACTGGGTTAATGTAAAATCATGTACCGTAATGTCATCAATTACTGTAGAAAAAAAAATCTGTACTATGGGAACTTAATCTGGATGCTGATTTGTTTGTTTGTTTGTCTGTTCATTTGTTGGGTTTTGGTGGTTTTTTATTTTTTGGTTTATTCAAGACAGGGTTTTTCTGTGTAGCCCTGACTGTTCTGGAACTCACTCTGTAGACCAGGTTGATCTAGGACTCTCAGAGATCCCCCTGCCTCTGCCTCCCAAGTGCTGGGATTAAAGGCATATGTCACCACCGCTCGGCGCCAATTGTTTCTTTATGTTCAGCTGTGGGTGATGTGAATGCTTCCCCCTTGTGATAGTAACAGGTACATTAAAAACAAACAAATAAACAATAACAAAAAAAACAAAGGAAGGGCTGGAGAGATGGCTCAGAGGTTAAGAGCACTGGCTGCTATTCCAAAGGTCCTGAGTTCAATTCCCAGCAACCACATGGTGGCTCACAACCATCTGTAACGAGATCTGGTGCCCTCTTCTGGCCTTCAGGGATACACGCAGACAGAGCATTGTATACATAACTAATAAAATTGTTAAAAAAAAAAAAAACAAAAAAAAAAAAACAAAGGAAAAAAACACACACAGAGAATGGTAAATCATAGGAAACTTTAATGTACTGTATTGCCTGAACTATGCCATCATCTTTTGTATCATTAAAGCTCTTGTTGTGTATTATTTTCATTAGAGGGCCATCCCCCAATAATGGATCGTGTAGAGAAGAAGGTTAAGAAAAGAAGATACAGTGAAGATTTTTTACAGTACGGTTTTACCTCAAAAGTTACAGCAGGGATTGAGAAGCCGCAGTGTGTTATTTGTGGTGATGTTCTCTCAGCGGAATCGATGAAGCCGAACAAATTAAAGCGCCATTTTGACAGCAAGCACCTGAGCTTTGCTGGCAAGGACGTCAGCTATTTTAGAAGCAGAGCTGATGAACTCAAGAGAGCCAGACCTGACACCGGTGGTGCCAAGTACCCCAGACAGAACGTAATAGCCGTCGAAGCTTCCTATTTGGTGGCACTCAGAATCGCCAGGACTATGAAACCTCACACCTTTGCGGAGGATTTACTGTTGCCAGCGGCCAAAGACGGTGTTCGAGTTATGATTGGAGATGAATTTGTTACGCAGCTGAGTACGGTTTCCTTATCTAACGACACTGTCCGCAGAAGAATAGACGACATGTCTGCCGACATCCTCAATCAGGTAATCGAGGAAATTAAAGCTGCTCCACTGCCAATATTTAGTATCCAGCTCGATGAATCGACCGACGTGGCAAACTGTTCACAGTTACTGGTTTACGTGAGGTACATTAATGACGGCGACTTTAAAGACGAGTTCCTCTTTTGCAAACCCCTTGAAACGACAGCTACTGCGCAGGATGTATTTGACAAAGTCGGTTCATTTCTGAAAGAGCACAAGCTCTCCTGGGAAATGATCGGTGGTGTTTGCACAGACGGTGCTCCGGCTCTGCTAGGATGTCAGTCTGGATTTCAACACTTGGTACTGAACGCGTCGCCCAGAGTCATCGGAACTCACTGTATGCTTCATCTGCAAACGTTGGCGGTGAAGACGCTGCCCCAAGAGTTACAGGAAGTCATGAAAAGAGTCGTAAGTTCGGTCAATTTTGTAAAGTCGAGCCCTTTAAACAGTCGACTGTTTTCCCAGCTGTGCTTGGATATGCCAGACAAAGCTCTGCTATTTCACACTGAAGGGAGATGGTTGTCCAGAGGAACCGTTTTAAAACATGTCTTTGAGCTTCGAGACGAACTCAGGATGTTTTTCAGTCAGAAAGCAAGACCACAGTTCGAAGCACTTTTCAGCAATAAAAGTGAATTGCAGAAAATAGCTTACTTGGTGGACATCTTTGCCATCCTCAATGAGCTCAGTTTATCACTGCGAGGCCCAAATGCAACCTGCCTCGATTTGTCCGAAAAGATCCAGTCCTTCCAAATGAAACTTCAGCTATGGCAAAAAAAGCTGGATGAAAATAAGATATACATGCTGCCTACCTTATCTGCTTTCTTTGAGGAGCATGACATTGAACCCCCCAAAAGGATCTCAATGATCATTTCTGTGAAAGAACACTTGCACATGCTTGCAGGAGAAATTTCCTGGTACTTTCCAAACCTACCTGACATCCCGTTTGCCCTTGCCAGGAGCCCATTCACAGTCAGAGTGGAAGATGTTCCCAAGACGGCCCAAGAGGAGTTCATTGACCTTCTGAACAGTGACGCAGCGAGGATTGATTTCTCGACACTTCCAGTTACCCAGTTCTGGATCAAGTGTTTGCAGCCCTACCCTGTTCTGTCCGAGACTGTGTTGCGCCTCCTCCTTCCATTTCCCACTACGCATCTCTGTGAAACGGGGTTTTCCAGCTTGTTAGTGATCAAGTCTAAATACAGAAGTAGACTCGCTGTGGAAAATGATCTTCGCTGTGCTCTGGCAAAGACCATCCCCAGAATTTCTGACCTAGTGAAAAAGAAGCAGTCTCAACCTTCACACTGATAATGGCTTTTATAGATACTGTCGCAAAATGTAGCAACTTGTGGGTTGTTTTTTTGTTTTTTGTTGTTTTGTTTTTTTGATTTTTGGATTTTGTTGTTGTTGTTTGAGACAGGGTTTCTCTGTGTAACCCTGGCTGTCATGGAACTCACTCTGTAGACCAAGCTCAGAGAGATTCACCTGTCTCTACCTCCCAAGTGCTGAGAGTAAAGGCCTTCATCGCCGCCACCACCCAGCTACTATTATTATATTAAGACTTACCCATGCTACACCATGCTTCAAGACAATTTTATTTATTTGTAATTAGAAATATTTCACAATATATACATACTGTTTTTTTTGGGATTAATCACTATGCTTTAATGCTACGCAATTTTTACCAGTGAAAATACATCCTACATATCAGATGTTTACATTACGATTCATAACAGTAGCAAATTTGCAGTTTTGAAGTAGAACGAAATAATTTTATGGTTGGGGGGGTCATCACAATATGAGGAATTGGGTTAAAGGTTCACCTCATTAGGAAGGTTGAGAAGACCTGATCTATAATTAACAGTTTCAGGGGATCCGATGTCCTCTTCTGACCATGCTCAGGCACCAGGTATGCATGTCACACGCAGACAAAACACTGATACACATAAATAACTAAATCTCATTTTTTAAATAAAAAAAAAATAAATGCCCTACGTACAGACTTTCCTACAGGCAATTTGATGGGAGCATTTTTGCAATTGTGTTTTTCTCTTCCAGATAATTCTAGTTTGTGTTAAGTTGACAAAAACTAGCCAGCATATCCTATTAACATTGATTATTTCTTGGGGTTGGGGATTTAGCACAGTGGTAGAGCACTTGCTAGAGGCCCTGGGTTTGGTCCTCAGCTCTGAAAAAAAAAAAAAAAAGACAAAGTAACATTATTTCTTGCATTAGGACAAACTGGGTAAAAGCCATATCCCATCAGGTGTAACCACACTGTTATTTAAACAGCTGGTTTTAAATTTTTTTATTCATTTATTTGGACCAGTTGTGGTGTCCCACAGGTTTAATCCCAGAACTTGGGAGGCTCAGGTAGATGGGCCTCTGAGTTCAAGGCTGGCCAGAGCCATACAGTGAGACCCTCTCTAGAAACAAACTGTATCGGTTGTCAGTTGCTGTGATAAAACACCATGACCAAGGCAACTTAGAGAAGAAAGAGGTTATTTGGACTTAGGGTTCCAGAAGGGTAGGGCGGTCATGGCATGGAAGCAGTAGGCAGAGTGGCTGGCCCAGAATACCATACTGAGAACTCACACCCTTTACTGTGAGCAGGAAGCAGAGACAGTAAGCTGGGAAATGACATGAATCAAGCCCACTGTCAGCACTAAATATGATGATGATACATGCCTTACAGAGTTCCAGACCAGCCAGGGGCTACATAGTGAGACCCTGTCTCAAACAACATATTAAAAACAAAACAAACAAACAAAAACTTCTATTCCAGGCAGTGGTGGCTCATGCCTTTAATCTCAGCACTCGGGAGTCAGAGGCAGGCAGCTCTGAGTTTGAGGCCAGCCAGGTCTAGAGAATGAGTTCCAGGACAGCTGAGGCTACACAGAGAAACCCTATCTTGAAAAAAAAAAAATAAGCCAGTTTCTAGTGATATAATTTCTCCAACAAGGCCATACTTCCTAAACCTCTCTAAGCATTGTTACCAACTATTCAAATACATGAGCCTAAAGAGGAAGAGCACATTCAAATCAAATTACCACTCACAATGAGAGAGTCTGTCCATGTCCATCTGTCCATCCTGCCACCTTGTGGGACTTGGGGATGGAACTCTGGTCATCAGATCTGTGTAGAAATGCTTCTATCTGTCGGGTGGTGGTGGCGAATGCCTTTAATCCCAGCACTTGGGAGGCAGAGCCAGGCGGATCTCTGAGTTGGAGGCCAGCCTGGACTACAGGGTGAGTTCCAGGAAAAGTGCAAAGCTACACAGAGAAACCCTGTCTCAAAAAATGCCATCATTGAGTCATCTTGCTAGCCCTTGAACAGCTACTTTTATTTTTGTTCTTGTTTGGTTCTGTATATATGTGTGTGCTTGAGAGCACATACATGCATGCATGCATGCTCTTATAGCCCATTCGTTCATACAGAGTGATGGAGGGTGTTGAGTGTTTTCCTCTATTGCTCTGCCTGTTCCCTGGAGATAGGGTCTCTCACTGAACCCGTGCTTTGACTAGGCTCAGTGATCCTCTTGTGCCTGCCTCTCTTGGTCCCTCTACAGGGATGAGGGGAAAGGCCTTTGCAGCCACACCTGGCTCTGTTTGTTTGTTTGATTGTTTGTTTTCAAGACAGGGTTTCTCTGTGTAGCTTTGGAGCCTTTCCTGGAACTCGCTCTGTAGTAGACCAGGCTGCCTTCGAACTCACAGAGATCAGTCTGACTCTCCCCTGAGTGCTGGGATTAAAGGCACGCACCACCACCGCCAGGCTCTTAAACTTTTTGTGCATGTTTTCACCTTAGCTCTTTCAGCATTCTTTTTATTTTTATTTTTTGGGTTTTTTTGAGACAGGGTTTCTCTGTGTAGCTTTGGAGCCTGTCCTGGAACTCGCTTTGTAGTCTTTCAGCATTCTTGGGATGTGATTATATGTGTGGAGGATTGTTTATTTTTTGAAACAAGGCCTCACATTGTAGCCCAGGCTAGCCTGGAACTTATGGTAATCCTCCTGTGTCAGCCAGCCATGGACCACCACCCACAGTCTAATCAACATACCATTTGTTTTGAGACATGGTCTCATTACGTAGTCCTTGCTGGTCTGGAGCTCACCATGTAAACAAAGCTGGCCTAGAGCTCACAGAGACCTGCCTGCCTTCGCTTCTGCCTCTGCCTTCGCTTCTGCTTCCTAAGTGTATACCAGTGAGCCTGGCTCGTTTTCATTGGCCTGAAGATTTTAGCAAATGGTAGTGCTTAGTATGTTTGAGACCCTGGGATTAAGCCCCCCAGTGCTTTCTCTCTTAAGTCCGATACCTGTGTTTCTTTAGGGGTGGTGTCTACTAATGATTGTTTTTCTTTAAAATGGTTATACGGCGGCCATTCAGATAGTTCATCAGGTAAAGGTATCTGCTGCCAAGCCTGATAATTTGAGTTCAGTTCCACAGGGTAGGAGGAGAGGAGACTTCCAAAACCTGCTCTCAGACATCCACATACACACACACACACACAAATTTTAAAATTTAGATGCATTTATTATTTGTGTGATTGAGTTTTGCCTGTATGTATTGGTGGCCAGAAGAGGGCTTCAGATCCCCCTGGGACTAGAATTATAGACTGTTGTGGGTTACCATGTGAGTGCTGGGAATAGAACCCAGGTCCTCTGGAAGGGCAGTCTTAATCACTAAGAACTCTATCCAGCCCCTCCATTCTAAAATGCTACTTGGGATGGTCAGTCAGTCAGTCTTTTCAATTTATGAGACACGCTTTTGGGTGTATCATTTGAGGGAGTTTCCAGAGAGTATAGATTGAGGAGGGACAACCCACCCTGAATGTGGGCAGCATTATCCAGTGGGCTGGGGACTTGAATAAAAATGGAGGGGTGGGAGGAAAAAAAAGCAAGCAAGACGCTAGAATTCCCCTTTCTTTGCTTTCCGATTGACCAATGCAGGTATGAACAAGTAGCCTCAGGATCCTGCCCACCGCGCCTTCCCATCTGATTCCTGCCACGTATTTGGTTAAAGCAATGAAAAAGTAAATGTTGAAGAGAATAATCATGTCACACAAAGAAACACAGGAACAAAGCAAAAGTAATTCAACAAGCCTATTTTCTTTTGCAAAAATGAGTTAGCCAATACATTCGGCCCAAAGGGCCTCCATCTTTTATCCCTGTGGTGGGATTACAGGTGTGCACAACCACATCAATGCTGGGGGCGGAACCCAGGGCTTCGTGCATGCTAGCTCAGGACTCTACCCACTGAGCCACGTTCCCTTGCTCGCTCCCTTCAGGTTTGTGACCAACGGAACCAGTAGGTTTACAGTTAACAATGCCCCTCCGCCGGGATACTCAGAATTCCCAATCTGGAACAAAGAAGCCTCGCCTAGAAGCCACGCCTCTCTGTGAGGTCACAGAGGGTTCGCCCGTATAGCGGAGCCAATAGGAACCCTGGGCGGGGCCTTTGGGGCGGAGTAGCCAGCGGCGGCGGCGGCGGCGGGCGCAGCGCAGCGGCGCGATGGACCCGCCAGCTCGTCCTCCCGTCTCCCGCCCACGGGCTCGTGGTCGCCCGCCGCCGCCGGAGACGCTGCCCACTGCGGGCTTCGACGACGAGCTGTACGACTGCCTGGACTACTACTACCTGCGTGACTTCCCGGCCTCTGGAGCTGGCCGCAGCAAGGGCCGGACGCGGCGCGAGCAGCAGCTGCGCACCAACCACACGGTGCCCGGCGGCCACGAGCGCAAGGTGGCGCAGACCCTGATCAACGGGCAGCGCAAGCGGCGCCAGCGCCAGCTGCAACCGCGGCCCCGCACGCGCCTCACCTGAGCGGGTATGGGCAGGCAGAGCCCCTCGTTGGGGGCTAGGAAATAGAAGCTCCTGTATCTCAGGCGGGTCTCGAACTCACTAGGGTAGGATGACCGTGGAACTCCAGATCGTCCTGTGTCCAGCTTCCAAGAGCTGGGATGATAAGACATGGGCCACAATGGCTAGCTCTTTTTCTTTCATTCTTTTTAATAGTTTTATTTTTATTTTTTGGTTTTTCGAGACAGGGTTTCTCTGTGTAGCCTTGGCTGTCTTGGAACTCACTCTGTAGCCCAGGCTGGCCTCGAACTCACAGAGATCCTCCTGCCTCTGCCTCCCGAGTGCTGAGATTAAAGGCGTGCCACGACTGCCGGGCCTTTATTTTTTATTTTTTGACACAGTCTCACGTTGCCTAAACTGACCTCAAACTCTTCATCCTCCAGCGTTCACCTCTAATTTCAAGCAAGGGCCATGATCACATGCTGTGTTGTTTTGTTTTATTGATAGGGCCCAGAGTAGCCCAGGGTGGCATGGAATTTGGAGCAATCCTCAACCTCTCTAGCCTTGAGATTACAGGTCTGTGCCACCATGTTCCCCTCTCACACTCTTCTGAAACTTCCGAGCATTAGTCATAACTGTACTCGACCCTTCCCAGGGGTTTCCTGGCTGCTAATGCAAGTCTATGCTTTGGAAGTTTGCAATTAGATGAGAAAGGCCTAGGTCAGAAGTGCCAGAATATGTCTCAAGAAATACATCCCAGCAGGTCGGTTTACACCTGTAATCCATCTCAGTGCTCTGGAGACTGAGACAGATGTACTGCTTGAGTTTGAGGCCAACCACAGATACAGTGTGTGGCGCTGTCTCAAAACAAAACAATCCCTTATTGTTTGCTTTCTGTCGCTGTGATAAATACCATGACCAAAAGCAACTTGGGTAGGAAAAGGTTTATTTCATTTTTTTTTTTTTTTTTTTTCGGAGACACAGTTTATTTCTTTTTCTTTTTTTTTTTCTTTTCGAGACACAGTTTCGATGTGCAGCTTTGGAGCCTGTCCTGGAACTCTCTGTAGACCAGGCTGGCCTCAAACTCACAGTGATCCTGGCTCCGCCTCCCAAGTGCTGGGATTAAAGGCATGTGCCACCACCACCCCCATCCCCACACCCACCCCACCCCCACCCTCCAGCAGGCTTATTTCATTTTAAAGCTTACAGTCCGTCATGAAGGGAAGTCACAGCAGGAGCCCAGAGGCAGGAACTGAAGCCCAGTCCACAGACTTGATGTTCATTTACCTCTCCTACACCTCCCAGGATGACCTGCCCTGGGTCATTCTGCCCACAGTGGGCTGGGCTCTCCTACATCAATCATTCATTGAGAAAATGGCCCCATAGACTTGTCTACAGGCCAGTCTGCTACCTCTCTCTCTTCTCAGATGACCCTAGTTTGTGTCAAGTTGACAAAATACAAGACAGACAAACAAAATAGGAGACAAAAGCTAGGTATGATGGTGCATACCTATACACCTATAATACACCTATACACCTGTACACCTATAATACACCTATACATCTGTACACCTGTACACCTATAATACACCTATACACCTATAATACACCTATACACCTGTACACCTATAATACACCTATACACCTATAATACACCTATACACCTGTACACCTATAATACACCTATACATCTGTACACCTGTACACCTATAATACATCTATACACCTATAATACACCTATACACCTATAATACACCTATACACCTATAATACACCTATATACCTATAATACACCTATACACCTATAATACATCTATACACATAATACATCTATACACCTATAATATACCTATACACTTATACTACACCTATACACCTATAATACACCTATACATCTATACACCTCTACACCTATAATACACCTCTACACCTATAATACATCTATACACCTATAATACACCTATACACTTATACTACACCTATACACCTATAATACACCTATACATCTATACACCTCTACACCTATAATACACCTCTACACCTATAATACATCTATACACCTATAATACACCTATACACCTATAATACACTTTACACCTATAATATACTTATACACCTATAATACACCTATACACCTATAGTACACTTATACACCTATAGTACACTTATACAACTATAATACACTTATATACCTATAATACATCATACACCTATAATACACCTATACACCTATAATACATCTGTACACCTGTACACCTGTAATACACCTATACACCTCTTAGCCCTAGGAAAGTGAAGGTGGGGTCAGAGGTTCAAGGTCAGAGACTGCAGTTGGCTCAGCTGTTGAAGCACTTGTTCTCGCAGGGGACCTAGGATTGGTTCCCACCCCCCACCTCCATCAGGTGCCTCATTACCATCTGTAGCTCCAGTTCGAGGGGATCCATCACCCTCTTCTGGCCACTGAGGATACTGCATGCATGTCATACACCTATATTTGAGCAAACACGTACACATAATTTTTTTTTTTAATGAAAAAGTTTTTAAAAAAAGGTCAAGATCATTGGCTCCATAGTCAGTTTGAGGCCTCCATGAGACAGAAACAGGGAGGCTGAGAACCAGCTCAGTTGAGAGTTGTTCACTCAGTGTGCGTAAGATTCCAGGATCAATCACCAGCACTGTCTACATGGGACCCATATGAAGGACCTTAGCATTAGGGAGGTAGAGGCAGGAGGACCGAAAGTTTATGTTATCCTTGGTTACACAGTTGGAGGCCAGCCTGGGCTACTTGTGACCCTGTCTAAAACAAATAACAACAACCCACTAGTGGCTCTGATCTGTTACGCTGGCACTCAGGAAGCAGAGGCAGGAGGATCATGAGTTGGAGTCGAGCCCGGGCTTTATTTTGAGTTTCCGATCACCATGGGCTAGAGTAACATCTCATCTCAAAGGAAAAACAAAAAACTAATAACTTCTAATGCTCTTTGTGAGACGTGGGGGAATGACTGACTTTTGTTTCTTTCTTATTTTTTACAGGAAACCTGAAAGACCTGTTAAAAGTATTTTCAACTGTAACTGAGTTCCTCCATGTTGGTCAACAGGACTTTTTTTTGATAGTGTTTAAGTTTCCTGCTTCAGTCTTTTCCTCACTAATTAGTTATTAAGTAAGTAGTTTCCAAGTAGGGATGTCTTTTTAGGGCTTCCAATTAAAAGAGAACAGCAAGAATGCATTTTAACTCTTCTGGGTTTTTCTCCCTCCCCACCCCCATCCCCCCACCCCATTATCATGGTGGTAACTGGTTTCTGGTTCGCAAGTATTTGGTCTCTATAAAGTGTAAAGAAGGAATCACGAGGCTAAAGTGATTGTAGCAACAGCCTAAGGACCTGAGTTTGATCTTTCAAAGTCATGGTTTTGAAAAAGCTGGGTGTAGTGGCCCACACCTAAAATCCCATCATTTGGGAGGTAGAGACAGATTTCTGGGGCTCACCGGCCAGCTAACATAACCTACAATATATGTTCCAGGCCAGCTCACCGGCCAGCTAACATAACCTACAATATATGTTCCAGGCCAATGAGCAACACTGCCTTAAAAAAAAAAAAAGGAAGAATCCTACCTGATATTGAATAATTGCCTCTACATGTACATACCCATGCTCATGCACGCGCACTCACACATACACACATGCACACACACACACCAACAGTGAACTGGGGAGACCCAGGACAGGATATTTTACAAGAAAAAATTCTACCCATATGTCATCTCTGAAAGTTTGGTTTTGGTTTTGATTTTGGGGAGTGATTGAGATGGGGTCTCTCTATGTAGCCTTGGCCGTCCTGGAACTTGCTGTGTAAACCAGGCTAGCCAGGAACTCACAAGTTCTGCCTGCCTCTGCCTCCTGAGTGTTGAAATTAAATACATGCACCACCACTTCAGGCTGAAGGTTTTTGTTTGTTTGTTTTCAAGACAGGGTTTCTCTGTATAGTCCTGGCTGTCCTGGAGCTCCCTCTGAAGACTAGGCTGGCCTAGAACTCAAAAATCTGCCTGCCTCTGCCTCCGGAGTGCTGGGATTAAAAACCTATACCACCACTGTCAGGCATCTGGCTGAAGTTTTTTGTTTGTTTGTTTTAATTTATTTAATTTTATTTTATGTGCATTGGTGTGAGGGTGTCAGATTCCCCTGGAACTGGAGTCACAGACAGTTGTGAGCTGCCATGTGGGTGCTAGGAATTGAACACCGGTCTTCTGGAAGAGCAGCCAGTGCTCTTAACCTCTGAGCCATCTCTCCAGCCCCCAGGCTGAAGGTTTAATGTGCATTAGAGTAGGCTATTGTGGGGACTGGAGATATAGCTCAGTTGGTAGAGTGTTTGCCTAGCATGCATGAAGCTATGGATTTAAGCCATAGAGCCTGCATTAATTGGGTGTGTGGTAGGTAGCACGTGCCTGTAATCCCAGCACTTGGGAGTTACAGGTCCAAAGATCAGAAGTTTGAGGTCATTCTTTGTGAGTTCGGGGCAAGCCTGGGGTTTGTGAGACCCTGTGCCAACAATAACACTAGGCCATATTCAACAGTTCTCATCACTTGTTTCACAACATCTCTTTGACATGGGTGCTGCTGTCCTCATTTTAGAAAAGAGATTCGAATCATGTCCTAGTTAGCTTTTTTAAAAAAATTATGTAGGGGCTAGAGAGATGGCTCAGATGTTAAGAGCACTGGCTGCACTTCCAGAGGTCCCGAATTCAATCCCAGCAACCACATGGTGGCTCATAACCATCTATAATGAGATCTGATGCCTTCTTCTGGCCTGCAGGCATACATTCAGACAGAACACTGTATACATAATAAATAAATAAATACGTCTTTAAAAAATGTTATGTGTCTGTATGTGTGTATGTCATGTGTATTCTGGTAACCCCAGAGGCCAGAAGAGAGTGGGATTCATACAGGCATTTGATACACCATCTGCTGTGGATTCGAGAAAGCAAAGGCAGGTCATCTGGAAGTGCAATCACACACACACCCCTAACCACTATGCTGTCTCTCCAGTCCCATTCTGGTACAGTCTAGAGTCTGAGGACAGCCTCCATTAAGGAATTCCCTAGATAAGATTGTCACACCAACAAGGCAGTAGGGAGTTGTCTGGATAACTGAGTGGGAAGAACCCAGCCCACTATGGGTGGCACCATCCCCTGGGAAGGAGGCATTGGACTGTAGAAACTAGCTGAACCTATTTTGGTGTCTTTAATACCTTTCATCCAGCATCCTCCTCTGGAGGCAGAGGCAGGCAGATTTCTATGGGTTCGAGGCTAGCCTGGTCTACATAGTTCCAGGCCAGCCAATGCTACACAGTGAAACCCTGTCTCAAACATAACAAAAAGGTAGCTGAAGTGATTCAGCAAGCAGCACGTTCCTCTGTGGCTTCTGCCTCACACTCCTGCTTGAGATCTTGCCCTGACTTTCCTCAGTGATGGACTGTGCCCTGTAAGCGTAACCCAAATAAACCCTTTTCTCCCCTCAGTTGCTTTTTTGTCAGACTATTTTCACAACAGAAAGGAAACTGGAACAAATGCAGTGAAGTAAGCGGGGCATAGTTTCACATGCCTTTGGTCCCAGCACTCAGGAGACAGAGGCAGGTGCATCTCTGAGTTCAAGGCCAGGCTGGTCTACAGAGGGAGTTCCGGGACAGCCAGGGCTAGGTAGAGAGGCTCTGCCTCAAAACAAAACAAAAACTCTATTTAGTGAGGCAGTGGTAGTGGTGGTGGTGGTGGCGGCGGCGGCGGCGGCGGCGGCGGCGGCGGCGGCGGCGGCGGCGGCGGCGGCGGCGGCGGCGGCGGCGGCGCACGCCTTTAATCCCAGCACTTGGGAGGCAGAGGCAGGTGGATGTCTGTGAGTTCAAGGCCAGGCTGGTCTACAGAGTGAGTTCCAGGACAGCTAAGGCTACACGGAGAAACTCTGTCTTGAAAAATAAACAACAAAGCCGGGCGGTGGTGGCGCACGCCTTTAATCCCAGCACTCGGGAGGCAGAGCCAGGCGGATCTCTGTGAGTTCGAGGCCAGCCTGGTCTCCAAAGCGAGTTCCAGGAAAGGCGCAAAGCTACACAGAGAAACCCTGTCTCGAAAAACAAAAACAAAAACAAAAAAAAAAAAAGAAAAATAAACAACAAACCAGTGAAGTAACATGCAGAGATTACACAGAAGTAAACCAAGAACTTGGTCCTAGTAAGCATGCTCTTGTTGTATAGCAAGTACAACAGTGACAGTTTCACATTCAGTTATACCTAGGGTTTATCTTTGGGTATGATAATGATTATGCATAAGCCGGTCCATATTTTAATAACCTTTTCTTGTTTTTGTTTTTGTTTTGCGGGGGTGGGGGGGAAGATGTTTCTTTTTGCTTTGTCTCTTCTCTTCTCTCTCTCTCTCTCTCTCTCTCTCTCTCTCTCTCTCTCTCTCTCGTCTTTCACACACACACACACACACACACACACACACATCCCTTTCCTTGGTAAGGCCTATGTAGCCCTGGTCGGCTTCAAAGTTGACTCATAGACCAAGCTGGCCTCAAACTCACAGAGATCCACCTGTCTCTACTGTATATTGGAATTAAAGGCGTGCACCACCAGGCTGGGCTCATTTTCTTCATGCCAACTGATGAGTGGTGTGCCTCTTTTCTTCTTTCCTTCCTTCCTTTCTTTTCTTCTTCGTTCTTCTTTCTTCTTTTTTGTTTGTTTGTTTGTATTTGTTTTTTGAGACAGGGTTTCTCTGTGTAGTCCTGGCTGTCCTGGATCTCACGCTGTAGACCAGGCTGGCCTCAAACTCACAGAGATCTACCTGCCTCTGCCTCTTGAGTGCTGGGATTAAAGGCATGCACCACTACTGCCCTACTGATGTGCCTCTTTTCAATTTTGTTTTTTGTTTGTTTTTTCAAGACAGGGTTTCTCTGTGTAGCTTTGGCGCTTTGCCTGGATCTCACTCTGTAGACCAGGATGGCCTCGAACTCACAGAGATCCGCCTGGCTCTACCTCCCATGTGCTGGTATTAAAGGCGTGTGCCACCACCGCCCGGCTTGCACAGTGCTATTTAATACGTGCATAGTCCCCAATGTTCAATTCCCAACGCCACGAAACCAAAACAAGCATTTCATCCCAATTATCACTAAAGCACAGGCCTTGGAGTCTTTATAACTGCTGCGTTCCCTCCTGAAATGCTCGCACCCTTAATAAAGACATGGCTTGCTTCCCCGATTCATCAATGACTCTATTCCAATGTTCCTGTTCCAGTCCTGCCCTGGGGTGGCAAAGACAGTTCAGTGGGTAAAGGTGCCTGCTTCTAAACCTGATGACCTGAGGTCAATCCCTGGAACCCACATGATCAAAGGAGAGAACTGACTCCCAAAATTTGTCCTCTGACTTCCATAAGCACCACCCACACACACATTTACATCAATGAACATGCACAGACACACAGATAACTTTTTTTTGTTGGTTTGTTTTTTTGAGACAGGATTTCTCTGTGTAGCTTTGCGCCTTTCCTGGAACTTACTCTATAGCCCAGGCTGGCCTCGAACTCACAGAGATCCACCTGCCTTTGCCTCCTGAGTGCTGGGATTAAAGGCATGTGCCACCACTGCCCCGCTCCACAGATAACATTTTAAGAGCCCTGTCTCTCTCTCTCTCTCTCTCTCTCTCTCTCTCTCTCTCTCTCTCTCTCTCTCTCCCTCTCCCCCCTCTCCTCTCCTCTCTCTCCTTTCTCTCCTCTCATTTTTTTTTTTTTTTTGAGACAGGGTTTCTTTGTGTAGCCTTGGCTGTCCTAGAATTAGCTCTGTAGACCAGAGATCTGCCTGCCTCTGGCTCCCGAGTGCTGGGATCAAAGTTGTGTGCCAACAGCACCTGGCTCCATTCTACTTCCAAAATACTTTCTGAGTGAAAACTAAAATGCCTGCCATGTAGAGCAGCCTGCTCTAGAGAGCGAGTTCCAGGACAGCCAAGGCGACACAGAGAAACTCTGTCTCAAAAAACCAAAATAATAAAGTTTTTCATTTATTTTATTTTTAATAATAGCACTCATTCAGCTGTGGCTAATGCTCAGATAGGAGCATTGCATAGAAGGTTTCAGTA